CATATCATTTTATTTTTTTAATCTACTAACAATCAACTCTTAATTCTAAAACATATATTTATAGAATTTTACTATTATTAATTTACTTATTAATTAGCATTTTACAATTATTATGTTCCTAATTTATTATTCTAATTAATCTAATTTTAATTATGATGACTAATTTTGTTTTCAAATTTCATAACTCTTATTTACTAACTATTATTTTTAAAATTTTCTAATATCATTATTTATTTTAAATTTCAAATTAAAATTTTATAATTGCAATAAATAAATACTATTTCAATTACTCTAATTTTAAAACAATACATACTTCAAACATTTCAAATTGTAAATAATAAAAACTCACAATATATCATTTCTAATTAAAAATAATACATACCTATCCCAAATATTCTAATTTATAAATACAATAAAACATAATATATATTATTAACTTCTGTTAAACTTAGAACCAACTCCTCTTGGTATTCTTCCTCGCAAAATTCGTCAAATCGATGGCCCCCCATTTTTTGAAAAAACATTATAAAACAAAAACAAAATAAAAATATACTTCAATTAAATTTAATAAAATAATTCTTTCTGGCTTTCACAATGTCGTTAATAGCAAATTCAATAACCAAAACGTGTTATAGAGTGAGTCATTGGGAGAATGAAATTTTTTGTTTTTATCCGACAGCAATTCAGATTTAGATCTTCTATAGTTTTGACAAGATCTGTAACATGTAGTTTAAATTTACTTAAGTGAAATAAAATTTGACAAAAAGTTATTTTTGTTTAACTTAAAAAAATTTGCTTAAACAAATTTAGTAAAAAAATAATTTTTGTTTAGAAAAAAATTGCAAAAAATTTTAAAATTCCATCTTCTTCCTTTTTAAATAGTAGAAACTCTGAGAAATCTTTATTTTTCATCAATACCTGACTAGTTATCAAAGACCTTTACATATATCATTTCATGAAATATTTCAAATGTATTGTCTAGTGTACTATTTATTCTAAGCATAGATGAGTTAGAACCATTTAGAATTGAGTTAAATTATTGAGAATGATGATAAATATTATAGAAATGATGACTTTAAGAAATTGGTTAAGAAATAGTTACAATATTATATGTTCTGAAACTCTTAAATTTTGGTGACATGACTATAAAGTGTGACTACATGATCTTACACAAAAGTTTCTTAAATTTTATGTAATTTAGAGAAGAAAAAGATAAAAATTTAAAATTTTTTACAATTTTAACTGAAAGTGAATTTGTTTTACTTAAGCAAAAATTACTTTTTTTATCAAATTTGCTTAAACAAATTCTTTTCGCTTAAATGAATTTAAATTATAAAGTGCATTTTCACATAAACTGTAAAAGATCTGGATCCCAACAATTCAGGCAAAAAATGAAGACAAAGTGAAAAAACAAAATAAATAAAAAAAACAAAAGAAGTTGGACCTGCATAAACTGATCAAAGTAAGTGCTCATATAAGAGTCATCTCTAACACGACTAACACTTCCAAATCTTGTAGACACATGCGTTAGTCAACCAAAGTATCAGTAATGTTATGGATGATACTTATTTAAAAGAAAAGTTTTGCCATGTATAAAGTTTTACCTTAAAAAAAATATTTTATAGAGAGTTATTCTAAGTTCCTCCCTTGCTTTGTAAAAGTAATAGAATTATAAAAGTAAAGTTGTTTTATAAGTAAATTTCAAAAGGATTAAGACTGTTGATTAGATTGTGTGTTAAATCGATGGTTAGGATTGAAATCGAAAAAGTAAAAATTCAGATGAATAACCTGATTTTGTTGTTAGTCATGAAGGGTAAAAAAGTAAATAGGAAGCTTATATATACCTAGGCTATTGAGGAATGAGTAATACATGTTTTTTTATTTCTAAGGTAGATGTTTCTTCCAAGCATGGGAGTGTTAACATTGATTATGGCATCTCAGAAAATTAACCATCGACCTTATTTATCTTGTCATATTTATTGTATATCATCGAAGAAGATGAAATATCATTCAGAGAAGATGAAAATTGAAGAAAGAATAGTATAAATAATATTGATAGACTCGTAGTTTGTATCTTTGTATGACATGTAACTCCCTATGTTGTTTTCGTTCTGATTGTGATGATAAATGATTACAACGAAGCAACATGAGGCAAATGATACAACATAAGAAACAATGTTGTATGTTGTTAATTGTACGTCGATTTTAACCCAAAACTGTTGTAGAAAGTGTTAACATATTTATAAAACACACTTTTTACATCGGTGTGGTTAAATAACGTATGTAGAAAGAAGCGAAAATTAACATTTAGTCTTATGAGTCAGTTTTGAGAATGACTGATGTAGAAATTAAAAATTGAAAACATAAAATGTTGTTTATACATTGGATGTCTCAGAGAATTGCAGAAGAAATATATATAAAAACAAGTAGATAGACTGCTTATTATCCTCACATCAGAGTAACTCGTTGGAGCTAAATGGATACTGACAACAAAAGGAACATAGCATCTCTCGTATACATCACCATAATCTAATAATTCATGTGGACAATTTTATTTCATCAACCATCAATTTTGCAAGTGAAGTAAAATGAGATTAGAACAAACTAAACACGTTAGTATTACTCCATGAAATGCTACTTGGAAAAATGATTATTTTAACAATAAACTTAGCTTAAAACACAAAGTTTAAACAACATAATGAACAAATGAACCCACCTGAAAAACGTGGAATTAGCTTCTATAGCAACGACTTTGGCCAAATATGATTTACTTGTTCTAGGACTGTAGAACAAAGAAGCTCTCCAAGGTCGTTGTTTACTTGAAACGAAACACAATGAAAAACATTCAATAGAGATAAGACAACACTCCTTCAATTGTTTAACCGAACAAATGAAACGCACTAGTGAAAAACTAAGAAAATTTCACAGGTAAGATAACTGCTTCCTACAATGCTTGTTTTGCACTCTCCAACCCAGTGATGTTCCACTTCACATTCGAAATTTTTCAAATAAACACTCAACACTATCTACATTGACTTTGTGACCAACCGCTACTAAATCTATGCTTTCTTATTTTTCAAACTTCTACATCAATCATTACCACCACCACATGTGGAACTTATGTTTTTTTAAATATAGCTCACCATTTTCTACATTAGTTTTGTAAGTAACGGATGTTCAAATTTATTTTTTCCAATCGTCAGTTTTAACATCTGATTTTCAATAAACCCTATGTACATATATATGACCTATATATATCCAAATTTTTTAAGTTGAATCTTCGTTGAATCTTCACAACTTGACGTTGTTGTTCTCCTTAACCTTATTTTATTTCACCAGTTATACCACAGAGTTGTATAAACTAGCTTTTTCACTTTTCAATTTAAGATAAAGAGTTCTACAATTTGCTAATCCTTTATGACTTTAAATTGAATGAGAAAAAAAATGATGAAAAAAAATGAAAACAGCAACACGTAACACAAAATATGAAAAGAACAAAATGACGAACACCAACAACAAGAAGAGAAACAAAAATACAAAGAAGGAATAAAAACATAAAATTATCAATGTATCTTTTTATAAATTTAACTTGAATAATTAGTATCCTGTAATTCATTCTTAACTATTCAATTAAAATTAACAGTTCATAATATATGTTACCTTCTACATAAATTTTCTTTTCCTTACTTGTTGCAAAAGAAGGAAGGATATTAGAATCTACCTTTTATAAAACTCTTATTTTAGTAAATTTTAAAATTTATCCAAATTAATCAAATTACACAACATGACAACAATCATCACTGCAGTAAAATCAATAACACCACTTCCATCGCCATGTGTCACAACAGGAGTGGCGCTCTTCCACCCTATGTTTCCCGGGTGTATGTGCCAACAAAAAACAAAAAAAAAAAAGAGAACCACCTTTTGTGTAGAACACTCAACTTTGGTATATTTATATCCTCTAACTCTCACAGAAGTCTTAGAAGGTGGAAATCTCATGGCTAGTAAGAACATAAGGCTAAAAAACAATGTGAAAGCGATGTCAAAACTGAGTTGCTACCAAAATTGGTGGAAAACGTGGGAAAGAAAAAAACGTGTACTCTAACAAATTTGTAGTATATTTTATTTTTAAAAACAGAAAACTGTTTTTAAAACACTAATCAAACATGCCCTAAGTGTGCAGTAGTCTCTCAAGTTCAAATTATCTCCAAAATTATTATTATTATTATGGCTTGAGACAAAAAATCAATAAAAAAACTTGTCATTCAAACTATAGTTTTCGAAAACTTGTCATTTAAACTGTTTTTACATTTTTTAATGATTATTTACTGTTAAAATAATCATTTTTTTTGTTTTATATTTAGCTAGTCTTTCTTTGTTGTTTTAAAGTTTGAATAGTAAACTAAAGCAGGTAGATGGTAAAGTGGGATAATCACATTGTTAAAGCGTCAAATTCGTAGGCCTATGTCCACCACAAATAGGCGAGCCTATAGTCCTTTTTATTTGCATCTCAATTGCTATATTATACTACAAAATATGCATAAAAAAATCACCGTCCTCAGTAGTTAAAGGGGTAATTGAGAAATCTTAATCAATTACTTAACAAAGAAATAAAAAATTCAGCCCCTCTTTTTGTTCTGAGAATATTTTTTGTGCCTTATTGTTTCTCATATTCCTGTTTTTAACTGAGCCAAGTAGTATTATATGAAATATGCAACAAACTTCAACTAATGAAATAGACTTTATTGTTGTTTGTTATCAATCTCATATTCTTGTCACATTAAGAACTTAACTTTATTATTGTTTGTTTGTTATTATTTCCCCATATTCTTGTCAATTAAAGACAAAAATTATAGCCGCTGTTGCTTCACAAATCACAGTTTATCAAAATTTCCGCCCTGTAAACATAAAAATCAAGAAACTAAAAAGAGATAAAAGCAAAGTTCCAAACAATTAATATTAAACAAAAGTATGATCAAATACGTCTCCTTTGTACATTCAAAAATGACTCAACAGTATATATGAAGTGAGGTCACTCTACCATGCACCTAGCACTCTCCAATATCATCATGTCATGGCATATAATGAATTTTGCTAGTATCTAAAGACTTTATTTCTACACCTATATTTTCCCTTAGTTGCCATGACTCAACACAAGTGAAAGTATTTGTCAAAAGTCCAACACCTTTGAATCCACCATATGTAACAAAGGTTCCAAAGTACTAGGAGCAAATTTTCTGGCAAAAAGAAAACAAACCGAAGAGTTTCGATTGTTGTATACGCATTTGTGACCTCCACGAAGCCTATTGAAAAACTCCTCTGTAACATCTGTTCTTCCAAAGGTTGCTGGGTGAGCTCCACCCCTAGACCAGTCCACCCATGTTATGCTTCTATTTGCCAACACATTCCCTGCTTGAATGGTAAGCATGGTGGGGAAATAGTGTTCGTCGACGTAACAAGCCGGTCTACAATATTGTTCAAATTTTGGATAAAATGTAGTGTCTTCAACTATGTTGATGGCGAGCTTTCGATTTATTTCAAACCATTGAGAGCCCTTGCGCCACTTTGTAATATTGACCAGAGGGGCCATGTTCTCATTATAGCGTCCTCTTCCGAATGGACCGGGATCATCAAATGCACCCATGAAGCTGTATTTGGATTTCATTATGTAATGGTAGACAACACTGAACTTGTAGATAGGAATGCATGATTCAGACAGCAGAATAAACCACTCATTGGAGATATCAAGCAATGCATTAGCAAGGAGTCTTCTTTCGGCATCACACATGCTCATCTTTCCCCACTCAGAAACCTGCTCAAGAAAGACCAAAAGTCCATCATCAGAACCGTGCATAGTGAAATTACTGCACACAAATTTTCATATTTACAAGAAAACTATATTAAATTGGAAACCATACAGGCTTTCATGTATTTTTGAAGTTTGGATGAAAAATTCAATGCTAAGAAAATTGTAACATAGGTTAAGCAAAAATAAGTGACACAGAATAATCTGAAGTTCTGAACTTTAAAATGAACCAATTTGATGGAGTGAATCTCATAAAGTACAAATCCTACATAAGCTGTATTTGAAATATACATATATGATATGAAAGAGCATGTGCAATATGAATGAATGAATCCTTATGCGACCCATGTTAACACCCTTGTAAAAGTAATGGATCCAATCACTACTGGTCTTCACAAGGCATGTGTAAACATTGCTTCATACTCCTTTGACACAAAACCATCCTGCATAAATTTACAACCTTTCCTTTGGACATCTCACTTTCTTAAGGAGACACACAGTCACAGACTCAAATGACTCAGGCTCTAAAAATATTAAGAAAAATTTACTGGCTATGCTATCCTACCTGTTTGCAAATTGTATTTCACTAACTCTCAAGGAAACAAAGCAATTTTTAATGGTTTACAGCATATTGGGAAATCAAAATAATTTGTCATTCATATTTGCTGAAGGCTTTTCCGCAATTGATTTTTGTAATCACCCTCTAAGCTCTAAGCTGTACCCCAAGTCAGTGAGTTCCCCAAATCTTATGTCAGTTGTCGTGTATTGCAGTGGTCGCCAAAGCAATGTGGAAGCTAGATTTAGAGAGTCAGTTAAACAAGACATTGCGGATATTTTATGCCTTTTTAGAGATATAAAACTAATTTTAATCCTTCATCTAACAATTTAATCTTTTGGGAGAGTTAATCATTATTATACTATTGGAGCCCCCATGACAAAGTTTTAGAGTTAGATTCTTTCTATGCCTATTCTGCATAATTAAGTGGAATTTCAGAATAAGATATTGTGTCTTTACCTACTAGCTTAAGCTTTTAGAAAAGTTGGCCCCTGAAAAACCCTACCTAAAATCATACATGATGATAGCCTATTAAACAAACTTTCCCATCTTCCTGTACAATCGTAAATAGGTGCAGGTTTCAGACCATCCAATAGGACAATATATTAACCCCAGCTACAGACCTCTCTAAAGAATTAGAAAAGAAAATAATGAATTAAATAATTGCCAATTACTGTCATACCTCTGCCAGGAAGCTCAACCCCCTGGGCTATCTTTTTATTTTAAATCTTTCTTCCAAACTTATGGTTTTCACAAACTTTTACATAAGATTAGCAGACATAATGATTTTTTGTGAACTGACAATTCTGAACTTGTAACAAGGTATAGATAACTAGGCACCATACTTACTGGTTTCTAAGCGCACACTCATCTTCAAGATTAATGCATACTCTGAGTCATCACTACTTCTAAACACACTCTAACAAACAGCATGATTATATTCTTTGTATAATTAGAACTCTTCTAATTGCATTCACATTGAGAGATTACTGAACTTCTTGGTTGAAGCCTGTTCGGGACCTAAATTCACAACATGATAAATTGCATACCCTTATCAGCTTCTTTCTAATTTCCTAACTAAATCTATCAGCCAGATGCACTAATCAAGTACCACATAAGAAACTCGTCTGGAGAGAATTTAGGAAGACATATAACTATATTCAAACGTGTAGATCCCACTAATAGCGATGACTAAATTCTCATCAAAACCTTAAAATGAGGTCAAACAAGTCCCTAAAAAATGACATAAAATTTGTGAACATCTTCCTGTCATAAAAGAATGATGTAAAACAACTAAGCATTAGCAACTTCAAATCAAAGGGGTGTCTACAAGAAAAAAACAATGAGCAAATCAAGTTTCATTCATAAACAGATAATAACATTAGACGGATATGGCCATACCTGGCTAGGGATTTGCCTGTTATAAAAGACGGATGAAGGAGGAAATTGAGCTTGAAAGGAGGGCAGTGAATGAATATAAATGGAATAAAGCTTCTCATGCCCCTTGAGAAACCTCTCCCAGAGGGGTGCCAAAGGCAATGGTCCCTTAGTGAGGAACATGAATGCAATTTTGGGAACTCTAGGAAAAGGGTATTTCTTGATCCGAGGAACAAAGGAAGCTTTCCACAGCAGTTCTTTATCACTCATATTATGGATCAAGGTCGAAGGTGGCTTAATCCATTTATCCAAACCACTTGGTTCCTCATAACATGGCTGAAAACTTGAGCTCACTGTAGTGACCACACTCTCAATTCCAAAATGCTTAACAGTGTATATGCTAATGACAGAGAACACCACACAGAGAGCAAGAAACAACACAAGTAGCCGCAGTGGTCTTAGAGGCAAGCCTTTGGATTGGTTGCTTCTTTCCTTTCCTTCTTCAAGGGCCACAACCCTTGATTGCATCTTGCTCACAAATTAAAACCAAAAAATTTAAACAAATAAACTAAATAAAATTAAAAATCTTCTAAGGTAACCACCCTCTACTATGACTCGTGGTCATATAAGATCCAATCTCGAATGCAAATGAAGTCAACACCACCGAATATAAAGGTGAGAAATTTATCATATGGGCATCAAAATTTCAGAAAATTTTGTGCCACAACAGAATCAACCTGAGCACATAGAACAACCACCGTGGATCTAATAAGAGCACATCAACTTTCGAACATGTGATGTTGGAAATAACAATATTATGGCACATGGGTCTTAACAAAAACTGAGACTTTCCAAAGAACAGAAACAAAAGGTGGGATTTTTACTTTTTTGATCTTACCAAAGTACTAGTTGGTGCGAAATCAGTGGCATAAGGTGTGAATAATCAAAACTCAGAAGAAGAAAAAGGGTATGAAATTGAGTTGTAGACATAAGATAATTGATGAGTGAATCTGGATTTGTTGTTATGCACACGGGCAGCGGCTAAGAACGTTGTATGTTCCTACGACTTCTCGTATTGAGAGTTTGCACTTCGTCATGATGTGTGTGTGAGGAATAAGGATACCGAATCTTGAAGAGGGTCTCTATTTTTCTACTTTTTTGTGCCGTGTAATGTAACATTGATATTCAATAGCATTTATTCAGTATTCACTGTTCACAATCAAAGTGTATTTACAGTTTTGCATGAAAAGTTGATTATCAGTGGTCTGATTTTGTACCTTTCCTTGTTCGGTTATTCTTTCCTTTGTAACAAGGTAGGAATAATCAATAATGTTTTGAAAATGTTAAAGTAATTATTCATGATTTTCTTTTTTAGAAAATATTAACCTAATTCTTAAAGTCAAAATAAAATAATTAATAATAATAAAATTTTATTAAAAATATTTATTATATTTTTATATTTCTAGCATAATAATTTTTTTATTATTAATTTTTAAAGATTGAGTTTCAAAATTATTTTTTTAAGGAGGATGATTATAAGTTATTATTATTATTATTTGTAGCTAGACATAGATTTTTATTTTATTTGTTTCAAAATATTTCATATTTAAGATTATTGTAGAAAATATTTTATTAATTCATTCTTACTTAAGACAATTTAATTTTTCATATTATTTTAAATTTTCTAACAATATTCATTCTCTCTTCATTAAATGTAAGAATAAATAACGTTAGGATTGAATGGTTTATCTAACAACAAAGCTTTGGTAAAACAATATAGCTTAATTTTAGTGCTATTTTGATAACCTACATAAGAGTAACGATTGTTATTTTTATTAAAAAAAATTCATAAATATTCATAGTAATAACGCAAAGTTTTTTCATACGAACGCATGAAAACCTAAAAATAAATAAATAATATTTTATTAATTAATCAAAATGAAAAACAATTAAATAATTTTTTTAATCAATGCAATATTGTAAAAGATAAAAAAGATATATATAAAATTATAAATTCAATGTTAATTAATATGTTAATAGTATTAAATGTTATAATTTTCTATAAAAATTTACCTTATATAAATTGTTATTCTGTCCAATATTAGATAGATTAATTTTTTTAAAATAAAATAGAAACTCAAAAAAGGCACGTAGGAAGGAATAACTTTTTATACGATACTTTTCTTTCCTACAAATGACTTTTTAATCTCTCAAGAGAGAGCTAGATATTATAAGAACTTAAGAAGAGCTAGAAGGATAAAAAATATTTTTATACAAAAATATTGTCAACAATGGAATTTTAGTTTCCTGTGTTTCAACCAAAATCAATAATTCGTATTTGTAAAATCAAAGAGATTGAGTTCACCATCTGGATCAAATATTTTGTTTTTGTCACGGTAAACAAAAACAAAAGGATTTCGTTTCTTTGGTTTGCTGAGGGATCATATAGTGTGTAACGCCCACCCTTCTCATAAATGTTGGTTTTGTCGTGTGTCATTTGTATAAACTAGGGACGGCATAAAAAAAACCCAAAAAATAAAAGGCTTAAATGTTCGGCATATAATTGCACAAACTATACTGCTATATGTTGTGTAGCAGCCATAAAGGTCAGTCTTCAATAAAGGACAACTAGATAGCAGTGCTGCAACAAACAGGTTTTTTTATTTTAAATTAAAAATATATTACAGTTTAATAATTAAAGTTTTTCTTAATATTTTAATAATTTTTTTGTAATGAGAAAGTTGAAAAACAAAGCAACAAAAAGATAACTAAAACAAGAAAATAAAACTCGAATCCTAAAATAGATAGTGCCTATTATGTCTGCAGAAGGGTTAATAACTAAATGAGACATTGAGTTCAAATATAAAAGTAAGTCTTTCTGTATTAGCACACATATTTTCTTGTTGAAGTATATGTTTAAAATGAACAGTCCAATTCAAAGACAAAAGGTTCTGAATTAGTTGAATTAAAGGAGAGCACGAATGATATTCATTAACCCCCTTCGTGATCATATGCACAACAAGAGTTGAGTTTGATTCACAAAGAACATGTTGGTAACCATCATTCCTTCTCTTGCTAAGCCCATAGTAAATGGCAAAGAGTTATGCTCTTAGGTTGGTAGTCAAGTCACAAGCATTATAAAAAGCTATAATGAAATTTCTAGCATAGTCTCTAATATAACAATTTCCACCAAGTAGTCCAACACTTGTCTTAGAAGACAAAAGCATTTCTACTCTTCCAAATTATCCAGCATACACTGCGAATATGGTTCTCGTAGCGTTGTTTATGTTGTTCACAAGTCAATCCACACAAGATGCAATGTAAAAATTTGAGCCACAATCCATTTGAAGGAATTTCCACACTTGTCGAGAGTGTTGGTGGTCACGAAGTAAGTGTAAGATCATCTTTTTGTCCATGCATGCACCTGATACAAGAAGAAACAATAGGTAAGTGTCTAAAGACACAAAAATCGTTAGTTGGAAGGCTACCATGGAAGGTAAGCAAAAAAAATGTTTTATCTTTCCTAGAATTTGTAGCTTCCAGACCCAAGACCAATTTCCAAAAGGAGTGGCAGGCAAAGGATTCTTGTTAATAAGCCATTTTAAAGCAGCAGTAGTAAACATTCCATCTCCTAGAGGACCCTAAATAATCATATCCTTCATGCTAATCTCTCAAAATGCCACATTCCATCTTGAAAAATATTGCACACTCTCAAGTGATGTCTTGTATGTTCACATAAGATACAACATGATAAAGATAGTCATCGGCGAGCCATTTGTCATACCACAAAGAAATATCACCCCTCCTTAGATGTTATTGGAATCCTGAGTGAAGGTGTAGAATCCCATGTATAAGATGCTTCCGCAAGTGTAGAGGGTTGAAATATAAACTCCCCTTAACGTAGCAACTTAGATTCTAGCATTTGAACCCAGAGCTTTTGCTTCTCACGCAAAAATCCCATACGTGCTTCCATAAGAGAGATATATTAACTTGTCTGGCAGGGCGAATATTAAGTCCCCCTTGCATCTTCGGTTGAAAGATGGTTTCCCGGTCTACCCAATGAGAATGATTACCTCCTCAAATGAAACGACATATGATAGAATCAATTTGATCACAAACGCACTCTCGTATCCAAAGATTCTGCATGGTATAAATGAACATGGATGTAAGAACAAATTAGGCCATGGTCACTCTTCATGCTCTATTCAAGAGTTTCAATTTCCATCCTGCTAATCTAGAATTGATCTTGTCAAATAAATAATTAAAGTTATTATTTCTTGTTCTGTCTGTGAGCATAGGAAAGCTAAGATATTCACCAATCTGTCTAGTATGCTAGAAGAGAGAAATAGAGGCAAATTTCTGTATCTTCACATTAGAGATGTTATTGAAGGTCATAAATCTTGACTTTGGAGATTAGCTTTAAGGCCAAATGTTTTGCAGAAGGTAGCCAAGACCTTTTTTACCAACTTAATTTGAAATAATTTTGCTTCACTTAACAACATGAAATCATAAAAAAAAAAGATGAGATATACTAAGTCCATTCCTATCCACTTTGATAGAAACTAGAAATGTTCATTTACTTTCTATTGTATAAGAAGAGAGAGCTTTTTCATACATAAAATAAAAAAATAAGGAGACATGAAATCACCTTGTCTTAACCCTCTTGTAGGTGCAAGAGACTCAAACTTTTCACTATTCCACTTGAGGATCAAAGTTGTTGAGGTGGAATAATTGTGATAAGAGAACAATTTGAGAGAGAAAGTCAAAGTCAACTACCATAAGTTTGAGGAAATTTTAGTCAATTATCGCATAAGCTTTTTCAAAATGAATTGTAAAATAACATTTTTTTAAAATTAAAATATTATCAGACATACCTCTTTTGAGAATAAAACTATTCTAAAGAGAATTAATGATTTTATTTAGATGGAGTCAAATTTTATTTACCAAAATTTTGAAGATAGTCTTGAACAAGACATTGCATAAACTAATGGGTCAAAAGTCTTTAAAGGATAGAAGAGAATCAATCCTTGAAATAGGAACAATGAGTATTTTTGCTAGATCTAAAGGAGTTAGAAATAAAGACCATTGATACTATCTCCCACACATCCTTTTTAACAACATTCCAAAAATTCTTGTGAAAAATTGGATACAAGTCATCCACTTCAGGAGATTTATATGAGCTCATAAAGAAAATGACGATTTTAACATTCTTTATAAAAATAAGCTAAATCAAGGATATAGAGATCATGGCCTACTTAAAAAATATAAATAAGTTGTAAACACGCTGGTTGAAAAAAATAAAAAACAATTGAAATAAAATTTTTTAAAAAATTAAATAACTAAATATCCTTAATAATAATGTCAGAAATTTTGTTTCTTCTTCTCCTTCTGATTGTCTATGTATGAAAGAGTTTGATATTTTTATTTTCAAACTTATTCTATTACTTTTTTTACTTTTGGTACTATAGAATTTTTTTATATTAAATAGTTGGTTATATAATACTTAAAACTTTTTTTAAGGACAATTAGATTTGAATATAAAAAATTATTAAGTTATTTATGAATTCTCGTTATTTAATAATATTTTAAGAATATTACCAAACATTTTTTTATTGAAATTGGTTGATTCTACTTGAATCTTATGAAGTTTATGGAAAACATTTCCAAAGTAGAATTCCAAGTATGATTAACTAAATTAAGATAGTTCGAATGAGAGAGCCAAACAGTCTAAAAATAAAAGATTGAACTCTCTTGCTTCTAAACTTCAAACAATTGAGCAATAAAGGATTGTGATCTGAATTATGCATACGGAACACTTCCAAAAGAGCGTGAAAAAACAAAACCCGCCACTCAAAGTCAGCCGTGCATCTATTGAGCTTTTTACGAACATGGTCACCAGATTGAACCTTCTTCCTACAAGCAAACTAGCCACCACCTGTATCCAAATCCATAACTCCATAAGCAGACATTATATTAGTCAATAAGAGACTTTTGTTAGAACTAAAATTGCCACCAGAATCTTCGGAGGAGTTCAAGATTTCGTTAAAATCACCCAACAATAGCCATGGTCTTGAAATTTGGTTCCCCAAGTTGCTCAAGTGGTCCTAGAGAAATTTGCATTTGAAAGAGTTAGGGAAGCATAAATAGTTGAGCAGTGTCAAATAACATTTTTTTTTAATGGAGAAACAGATAGCTTGCTAACAAGAGTTAATAGGAGTAATTGTTATATCAGTAACACATAAGATAACCCAATTTATATCTAAATTTTGTCCCAGAAAACAATCTCGTATATACAACCTTAACAACATGCGCAGAACGCATATTTCTTATTTTTCTTGCAAATACCACCCGAGTTAGGACTTCCGTGCGATTCTAGCAATTTCAGCCCATTGCGTTTCTATTAAGTTTCAACATATCAGATTATTCGATTCCAAAAATGAAATTACAATTTGAGATATACTTTACGACAAATTTGTCTAATAGGCTTAAAAATTCATGAATCCTATCGAGGCAATGCAGTGGACAAGATTGACAGCCAATAACAACATTTTACATAAAAATTGGTTTTGTATGCGATGGATATTTTACAACTATTTCTGAAATGTTAAAAGAAATAAGTTCTATAATTAAACAACAGAAAAAACGATATAAGTTCTACACTGACTAGATAAAGAGTAAAAAAAACATATTTTTATTATTTAAACAACAAAAATCCAATTTCATCTATAATTTTTTTTCATACATAAGACAAATGCCCAAACGAAAAAAGGCCAATACACAAGAATGAAAAACTCAGTTAGAGAATAAAACTCATAATTTTAATTAAAACAAATATCATTTGAAAATAAAAAATAAATTTAAATTACTGTTTATTTAATAAAATATTTTTAAAATAACTACTTTTATCATAATGTAACAATAAAATTTATTTGAACAAGCTAATTTTTTTTTTTTAATAAGCTATATCCAAAATCTTACCAAAACAAACTGAAAACATTCTGAGACCAGAACAAAGAACCCCAGCTCAGACCTCACGGGCAGAAATAGAGCACAAATCTCGCATCTATGCTGGAAAAAAGGCATTGAAAAAAAAAATGCTAACAACGCACTCACTAATTCAATCTCACTAAAATTTATTAAAAATTATATAAATATAAAAAAGAAACATTAATTTAGGAGTGAAAAAAAAGAAAGTCCCATATAATTTTTATAATTTTTAATAAAATTTAATCAACAGTAAGAAAATGTAGTACAGGTGGTGTGTTGCTAGCATTTTTCTTAAAAAAATATACATTTCAAAACATGAAATGAAAAGTGAACTTTCTTCAATCACTTGGAACTTGGAAGGTGTCTTTTCTCCTCTTCAAGAAATACAACAGGCTTAACATGTAATGTTAGAAGATCCCACAAATTTCTTGCATAATTATGATGTAAGAGCTCATAAGCCCATCCAAAAGAGAACAGACAAATTTATACACCAACAAAATATTCAAACAGCAAACTAGTTCTCTCTATTTCACCACATCAAAAGTAGCTCGAAGATTGGATATCATGACAGGACACTCTCCCTTCTCATCATATTCGGCAAATTCTCCACTTGACAAGTCAACATTCTCAAACTTGGTTCCCTGCAGCTACAAAAGTACAACTTCTCTTGATTAGAGATACCAATATGTCTAGCGTGTTAAAAATATTTAAAATCAGTTGAGTGAAATCTAGAATTAGAGGATAGATATTACAACCAACAAATAAAAAAGTACCTTAGACAAAAAGACGGGGAAGAGAATTACGAAGAAGGCATTACAAATGAAAAAAGAAGAAAGCTAATACCTAAAGCTGGAGGAAGGATGTTTCAACACCAGGAAAATCATAGTACAACTTTCACATGATATTTGATTCTAGAGGGCAAAGAGTGGCCGAATGTCTCGCAAATCTCACCATAATTTGGACTTACAAATTGTGAAAAATGAAAACTATTTTGATTTGAGTTCATGGGTAAACTTTTTGGACTAGATTCTCAACATTGACACAAGGGAGATTATTGGCTCCAATAGAGAAAAGTGGGTATATGAGCTATTTACAATATTCAGTTTATATACCACCAACATTGAACAATCAGAAGAGATAAGATAAAATAGGATGCCAAAAATAATGAAAATATGGCACAAAAAAACAGAAACTCACCGACTCAACTTTCCATCCACTACCGAATACAAAATCTACTAGATCATAGCCCCTGCAGTCAAATAACATCAACGGAGCATACTTCCCCGATTCACTCATTTCCTGAGTGAGTGGTTTACCTCTGCCTTGGATCATTGTCACAGTACCGTCCCTGCCACAAAATTTGCACTGCATACCAAATAAAGCACATTAAGAAACCAACATCTGCAGGAACAAACAGCTTGAAGAATCTCACGTGAACGAAAATACAGCATCTACTTATTGTTTAAAATTATGCATCGGAATTATACAACATTTCCAGAATTCTCCCTCTTATGTAAGAGACAGAACATAACTACATAAGCAAATGGCTAAGCGTGGTAAATGAATAGAATTCTTCTTAATTGTAACATATAAGGAAGCTTACAAATTTACAAGTCAGATTGGTAAAACCTAATTTCAGTTATATAACTGCAACAAAAGAATGAGCTTCATTTCCTTCGAATTTCTGCCGTGAACTTAAGTTATTCTACCAAGTAGAAAAACAATTTGATGGAACCATAACAGTAAAGATTGCAAATAAAGAGAAATGCTAACAACACACACTCTAACATACTCTTTCAAACACAATTTTTATTATTAGCTAAAATTGATTGAAAATCACAAAAAATATGCAAATCACACTTCTAATATAATGATTATCCCTTATGCTTTTGTAATTCTAATAAATTTCAGCCAGTAACTAAAATTGTGTTAAAATGTGTGTTTGAGAGTGTGTCTCTAGCCCTTTTTGTGCAAATAATATATTGGATAAAATTCGCCTTTCTTTTCTTTCTACAACATAAATCTCTAAATTATAAAACTAAGCGCATAGCATTTAACTATCAAATTAGTCCCTAACGCTATTAATTCAGATAGTAATTTGAACTAAGAAATATATATATTTGAGGGATTTGTTAATTGAAAAATCAAAATATGTGATTGACGAAACGCAAAGGCTAAAATAGGTTAGGATTAAGGGAAGAAGAAAAGAGATTGCCTTTTGAATGAGATGAGTGGTGCCCTTGCCAACGGGGAGAGGAACGGTGTCGTTTAAAGAAACACAGGTTTCCCTTTGGCTCAGTTCTCCGCATCTTCCGCACTTCAACTACGGGGACGATGAGGAAAAGAAAATTTAAAATAAATAAAATAATAATAATAATAATCAAATTGAAGATTTTGATTTTGATTTTGATGGAGAGAGGAGAATGCGAAGCAGAAGAGAGAAATGAGACCTTGAAGAAGTATGAGAAGTTGGGGTCATCACAACCACCTTGAGGTTCGAGATTGGTTAGGTTCTCAAGCTCTGCGCTGATCGTCAGCATCAAGTTCACCATTTTTTCTTTGCGTCGACCGCAAGCTCTCTCTCTCTCTCTCTCTCTCTCTGCAACAGTGACACCTTTGCTGTGAGAATTCAGATGCTATCGAGAAGAGTTTATTATTATTTATGTTTCGTTGAGTTTTTCTTTTTAATTTACATTTTATACTTTTACAATTTCACATTTTCTAATACATAATACTTGTTTTCAATGTCCTAATTTTTTAATTAAAATTTGTTTAATACTAATAACCTGCACAATAAAAAATAGCATTTATATTTTATTAGATGAGGAATAAAAAAAAACAAAAAAAAGATACAATGAAATAGATATATTGTTTGAATTTTAAATAAAACTCATAAAAACTATTTTATATACAATAGAAATGAGTTTTATTTTTATCTTTCTTTTTTTAATTTGAATCTTTTTACTTAAGTATGTTATTGATCTTTAAAAATATTATTAAATTCAGTTTTAGTTCCTCTATTTTTTTACTGTTTAGCTATTTTATTGTAAATCACAAGATCTTTTACATTAGCAACATATTTTATCATATTATTTGCATTTTTTTAATTATTATTATTGTTGTTGTTATTATTATAATTTTTTTGGTTTTTATAAATAGTAATCGAATTGGTTTTAATCTGTGTAATTCTGTTATGGTTCAAGTACTCCAAATTATAATATTTTATTCTAATATATTTATTAACCAGTAACTATTAATCATATATGGGGACTTACATTTTATAAAGGTGGAAATATCTCTTTATGAAGAATGGGCCATGCAACCGGAAAAAACAACGAATGGACCAAGCTAACGTAAAGAGAAAAGAATGGGCTAAGCTACACATTTTTTAATTTGATCCATGAGTATCTCAATTGTGTTTTTTGTAAATGCATAAAGTGAAAAAATAAAAGTTTATTTATCATTGAATTAAATTAAAATATTTTTTAAAATATAATTTACTTTAAATTAGTGCTAGATAAACCCTTATTTTCTTTTTTACTTTAAAAAAAAAGTCAAATCTACCTTTTGTATCATGAAAATTAAAGTCAGTTGTAAGTTAATTGACAGCCTGCTTGGCAAGAGTCCGGAATTGATTTCGTAGGAATAAAAAAAACGATTACTTCCGTCCAACGTGCATTGAAATGCAGAAATAAACAATTTCGATAATATATTTTCATTAAAAAAATAAATTTTTAAATATCAAATGTTAAGGAAAACAAGCTAATATTATTGCTCATGCAATTGATTATAGGTGTGAGTTTATATAAAATTTAAAACATACTAATATTTCAAAAGTAATTCTTTATCTTTTAAATTAATTTTTGAAAGTCCATTAATTTAATTCCCTGGTTACTCTCCAAGCTGGCCCCTATAGGGGATCGCTTAAGGCATCAGCAATATGCTCTCTCTTATGTAAATCAATTCTTTTAATGTAATTTTAAAATAATTAAATTCAAGTTTAATTCAATCTATTCCTAAATATGAAAATTTCTAATCTAGAAAAAAATATTAACCTTTCTTTTCTTTGAGTTATCAAAAAGTTTTTCTTTTTTGGTTGGGTGGGGAGGTGGCTGATAAATGAAGCATGCAATTGCATGTCAATGATCAAGTCAAGATGTAAACAGAACTTGAATGACATATAGACGGTAACTCATGCACACGTCGCTAGGTTCTAGCTAACTTATAGTTAAGCAATGTCTAGAATTCATGACTTCGTGTTATCAATAAATGCCATGTTTTCAATGTTTTTCAACATATCTTTGTCTTCCATTTTAGTTTTGTGATCTACTGTTTTGTATCTTCGATAGATTAGTTCTTTTTAATTAAATTTGAATGGGAAAGGTGTTGCGCTTTCTAGTAATGGGATCCACATTCTTCATTCTCATGGGGCTGGCAGTTACAGTTTATAGTTTAGTGGACCATGATGGCTCGTTCCCAAGACAGAAGATTTTGGAAGTTGAGAGAAAATTAAAGCATCTTAGAAGGCATTCTTTGAAAACTATTGAGGTAAAGTTTTCTTAATCATAATTTTCTTGAAGATAAAATTCAGATGCAATGTTATAGATGTTTTTAGTATTATTATCCAATTAAAATTGAACTGCCACCTCAGTAACGTGCATAAAGCTTTAATGTTGACTTTTTTTTAATTTAAATTATCAAAGTAAAACTTCAATCTTAATTGGAGAACATTTACAATTGATGCAAATGCAATTTTTTTTAAAAATAAATTTAACTCCATTTTGGAGGATTTTTTATATATATTTAAATGATATTAGAAAGTACGTTTCTTTATTTAAACAGCAAAAGAAACAAGCAGATATTCATAATTGTAGTCACAATGTGATTGTAGAGACTGCAAAAACTTTGATATTATGACTATAATTATAGTAGTGAATCACAATTTAGAACATTGTCAGATGTTGGATCATTAATGGAAATACTCTACTCTCTATATTGGCATCTAATCAGTCTTGTATATGGTGACCAATTTGATCAATGAAAATAATTGGAAATTAGATATGTAAGAAATTATAAATTTAATATAATAAGTATTATTTTTGAATAAAATTTATTATTTTTAAATGCTGGTTAACAATATCCTTAATGCTATGCTTAATAAATTTTCTTTCTTGCCTGTAGAGTGAAGACGGGGATGTCATTGACTGCATTGATATTAAAAAGCAGCCAGCCTTTGATCATCCTGCACTGACAGGTCACAAAATTCAGGTGAGTGCCATTTGATTCTTTGCTTACCATGATTTTTGGGTGATAAATAGCTTGCTAGACTAATTACGCTTTATTCTTTTTTGTCCATTCAACTAATCTGTGAACACGTGTGTATTAAATCAGATGGTTCCCACTTATAATTCAGCTAAGGAGGACACAATAGCAGAGACCAGGACTAGAACCAGAAATAAAGCAAAGGATGCCAAAATGAAGAAGCAGAGGGCTGAAGAGTCTTCTCTGACTGTGACTTCCCAAGTGTGGCAAAGAAGTGGAAGCTGTCCGGAGGGAACAATACCTGTTCGAAGAATACAAAAGAGAGACTTGCTCAAGGCTCATTCCATTGAAGACTATGGAAGGAAGAAGCCAAGCTTCTCTCACCATTATGTTGGTCAACTTAATGAGAATCTTGAATCCTTTGTAACACTACAAAATCATTCTGTAAGTCTGTTATATTATAGACACTTCTGAATAAACAAACTTGTTTAATTATTTTATGATTAAATGAGGAGTTTTTATAAGTTTAATTAAATAAGTCAAAAGATTTTGTTTTAATAAGATTTTCTATTATATTTATTGAAATATTCTTTTAAATAATGTCATATATCACTTTTGTAAGTTTAAAAAACTCTTTAAACACTTCCTATATAGAGAAATGTCTGTTTAATAAATGTATAACACACTTTCTATTATACAGTAAAGTCTCTCATGATATAACTAACAAAGAGTGAGATAGGGTTATATAATGGGATCAACATGAAATTTTGTCTAATGCTAATAAATAATGTATTACAAGGAGGGTGGCAAATAATAAGATGGTTATAATTTTGCTGTATGTATATGTATAGCTAACTTTTCCATGTTTTTGAGCATGGCCATAAAACTAAAGTGTATTTTTCTTGTACTTGTTGGAAGAGCTAACTTGCTTCCGTTGATTTGATATCTACGTGAAACAGAAGGCAATATTGTTTACAGATGGGTACCGTTACCTGGGAGGTAAAGGAGACATTCTAGTATTCAACCCTCCCGTTGAAAACGACGATGAGTACAGCACTTCCCAAGTATCTCTTTTAACTGGGCCTTACAATGACTTTGAATGTGTTGAAGCTGGATGGGCGGTAAGGACCTTACATTACTCGGAAAGAGGAACAAATTTAGCTAATTTTTAAAATTGATTGATAACAAGATAGAAACATTAACTTACAATTGCAAGAAATAGTAAGATTTAAGTAATTTATATAGTTTTTAATAAATTTTAGTAAATAATTAAAAATGTGTTAAAAAAGAGTATGTTAATTAGAATTCTGACATTCCTCTCTTAGAAACTATTGTTCGATACCGCCTGGAGGCATATATTGAAACTTATATAAATTACAACTGATAAAATAGTTCAAATCCATCCAACAAAATTGAGGAATTGTGTTTTAAATTTTAAGTTCAAATTAAATTTAAAATTTTAATCTAATTTGATTAAATTGGTATGAAAAAAAAGAGAAACTTTTGGTTAAGTTTAGACATTATTTTGTGAGCCCAAAATTAATTTTAATTTTTTAACTTAACATGTTATCCACCATTGGTGAATTCAAATGGGCCTGATATCTTATTTTAAAATAGAGAAAAAATAGTTATTGAATAATATGACATAATAGAAAAAACAAACAAAATGACTGACAAAAAGGAAAATAGACAAGATGAGAGTTATTAAATGAAAAATAATGTTACTATAGTGTTTATCAGAATAATTTGTGTACATAATTATTACTTAAATGCAAAGTTATGGAAACACCTTTGCATGACAGAAGCCTTCCAACTTGAAGTATCTTTTTCTGAATGCTCTAGTAGCCTCCTGCTTGAACCTGAAGTTAAATATATCCTTGCACGAGTTTAAATGTTTAAATCTTTTCACCTTTATACGTGTCATTATATCTATGTTTGATAAACTTGTTCCAGGTCAATCCCAGTGTGTATGGAGATAGGCAGACTCGGTTATTTGTATATTGGACGGTAAGTTTGCAATTACATCAACCTTGGGACATAAAAAAGAGGGAACCAAAATTTGTGAATTACTAATCCTTAATTTAAATAATACGTGTATGATACATATATGGTGTATGGGTTCATTGTCAAATTTGATTAATTTGTTCTACTTTTTGGGTCCTAATAATTTCGAAACTCCAATTTTTGCAGGCTGATGGTTCAAAGAGAACGGGTTGCTTTGATCTGACTTGTCCTGGGTTTGTTCAGACTAGCAATGAAATTGCCTTGGGTGCTGCAATTTATCCAATATCGATTCCTGGTGATCTTTCATACCAAATAACTATTTACATCTATAAGGTGGGTAGCAAGTTTGGTAACAATTGATTTAAGACGATATTTTCTACATTTTCTTAAATTTCGAAGGGAGGAATGGAAGGTTTATATAATAGTAACCTTACTTTTAAAAATTTTAAACGTAAGAATCTTTCTATAAACATTTTTATATTTTCTCAGGGAGAGAGGGTAACGAAACCTAAAATAATTGGAGAGTTAAGAAATATAGATTTTTGGTATTTTGTTGAACTATTGTGTATATTAACTATGAGGCTTATGCATGACACTTTAAATATGCATTTTTATAATTCTTTTACCTATTTTTTTTAAAATTTATTAGTTAAATTTTTTTAAAAGTTTATTACAAACATTTATATGATCTTGAATTTTTTTTTTCAACTTTTTTTGTTTTTTAGTCTTTTTCTGATAGTTACGGGTTTTTTTTTAATATAAATTTACAATTATATTTATATTGACTTTATTTTAAATAATTAATACTCATTACGTTAAGTATAAAATAATCTAACATATTTTACTAATAATTATTGAAATATAACAATATATGCTTTTTTTTGTATTTTTTAAGTATAAAATGACCCATCCTTGTTTTTTAAAATATAATTTCTTGTAATTTAAAATTATTAATTTCTGTTAATTTTATAATTATATTATGCTGCGCGTAGTATGGTTTTCAATCCGTGTTGTGTGTTCAAACTCTATATAAATGATCGTTTCTCTAAAATAAGGATTTTTAATTTTCTTTATGATTTTCATTTACATTAGGACCCCATTACCAATAATTGGTGGGTGCAATATGGTGAGAAGACCAACATAGGCTATTGGCCACCCGAGTTATTTGACACCATATGCTATAATGCGCAATCTGTGGAGTGGGGGGGTGAAGTTTATAGCACAACCGTTGGGCACACTCCTCACACTGCAACGCAAATGGGTAATGGGCAATTTGCTTCAGTTCCTTTTGGTTCGTCATCTATAACAAGGATGAGAATTCATGACAATGCTGAAGCCTTGAAGATCCCTGAATGGGTTTCTGATTTCTCAGACGAATATAACTGCTACGATGTTCGGTACGTTGACGATTATGTTGAAGATCCTGAGTTCTATTATGGAGGGCCAGGTAGAAATCCAAAGTGCCCTTGATCATTAAATAATGAGTACCAATTACAACTTAGAAGTTAGAACGAATAGTAAAGAGAGAGAAGTTCTTGCTTCTGTTATCCTTTTGAAAGGTTTCCTGACTTTTTATATATTTTACCAAGCATCTTTAACTAAACTATATAAATTAAAAAAATAATTAAGGTGAATTAATTTTCTTGATTTATAAAAGAGTATTATAACAAAATAATTATATCCTTATTTGATATCTTTGAAGGTAGCTCGATTATCAATATGTACTTTTATTGATTTTAATTTAAAATCTCACTAACTCTATTTATTAAAGAAAAAAAATATTATGAATATTTTATAGAAACTATAAATAAAACATATTACTAAACCTTTGGACTATATCTAATAAAAAGGATGAAAAGAAATATTTACCAACTCATATAAATTAAAGATTTCATTAACTTCAACTCTTAAGATAAGTTTAAGGACTCAAAAATGTGATAAATATTTAAAAAAAAATTAATTTACTCTGTATGATCCTTTTTATAAAAAGCAAATAACTAATTCACCAAAATTAATAAAAGTAAATTATATGTCATAAATTTTTAGTGTACTCCAATAATATCCATATTAATAAAAGTTAAATTGATAATTCATACATTATATGAATAAATACATTCATTTATACGAACAATGGATAAGGATTAAGGATTTTGATAATATAAATCCTATTATAAATGAGAATATAAAAAAAATTAACAATTAATACATCTAAAATTGAGTTTTTATTTTTTTTATATTTATAACAAAAAATAAACAGTGATAATTGTATTTTATAAATAAAACAAAAAATATTATTTTAAAATGCTTAAAATTAATATTCATCATGAATTAAATACCAAACAAAAAATAGTCACCCACACCCACATTCTAATTATTTTCTACCTATAATGAGTTAACAACAGGGACTCTGGGTGCGAGAGAACTTAAAATAAAACAATTATTTTCTCCAAAATAATTTATCTCACTTGCGCACTTAATCTTAATTTTTCAATCTTACATAAACGATAATATATAATCAAAATAAAGTATTTTAACCTTTAACCTCGATTAGCTATGAACAACAAATGATAAATTAGATACTAAGCAAGCTGTATAAACAAGTTTTGGACCATAAAACAAACAAAGAAAACTGTAAACAACTGTAGAGGCCTGATTTTTCACTCTTAATTTACATCGATATTATGCTCTATCTTCCAGTGTCAAACTCTGGTTTTGCAATCTAATGGAATGAATCAAAATAGTGAAGAAATACACACAAGGGTCAAAACTCAACCCCTCTCTCTCATGGGATGAAGAGCATCCCACACTTAGTAAGTCAATTCCAACGGCAAAATGAAAACATCATTGTACAAGGAGACAACATACACTAATATTACATTTTATCAATTTTAACATCCCATATAATATCTACATACGAATATGGTGTAATCAAGACACAACCAAAGGGAAAGGTAACAACAGCTCGATACATATTGTCATACAACAAGTACAAGAACTAAACGCACTATACAAAGAGCGTGTCTGGTTCAGCGTCAAAAGCATATTTATGTGCGTTTATTTTCCTGATGCTACACTATGTTGTGTTGAAATGAACGTGCGTCATGTATAAAACCTGAACCAAACACGCAAAAACTCAACCCTGAAGTTCCACATCCGCAAACAGCATCAGGCTAAATCATACTGTTTTCTCTCTTCCTGAATCGATCGAAAAATTCTAGCTGCAGATTCTGTTGCAGAATTTCGGTTATGTGGCACGACTTTGATTACTTGAGTTTGGTGTCTGGTTTCAAGAGACTGAAGGAAAAGAGAATGTGCATCAACACTTGCTTCAGAAAGTTTCCTTTCTCTGATTCCTTGTGCCATTTCACTTGGACTACTTGCTGGGCTCCCCTGTAGCTCTCTTCCTTTTGACACCTGAAATTTCTGTGTTTCATTCCTCTGAATTCGCAAGTTAGATGAGCTTTGATTATGATGAGTATTGAAATTGGCTCCCTCTACAGATGCATGAGCATTTTGACCATGAGAACCCTGTGCAGCAAACCGGTTCACCTGTTCAACCGCTGATCCTGATGCTGCTTGATTCATTACCGGCATGCCATAGGGAGGGAAGCAGGCATGACTGCCTGGAGGAACGAACTGTGGAACCTGATGAGAAGCTGGGATTCCATAAGCAGGGTTCATGAAAGTAGCACCAAAAGGTACTTGTCCAAATGGTCCTCCCTGCATTGTTCCTGTGAATCCAGGCCCAGGATATGGCTTGTAGACGAGCCCTTCAGAAGCAGACATAACAGGAATTAACCACTGGTGTCCTGGTGACTGATTGAAACACCAGGGACTCGTTCTATTATCAGTAGTTTCATTTGCCTGCTGCGGATTTCCAGGAAAAGGGGTGTGATTTGTAAGGTGGCTACCATTTTTCCGGGATGAAAAGGATGTTTTTTTCCCAACTGCATTCTCGGCAGAACATTCCGTTTTATGGTTTGGCTTTTCAGAATCATTTTGCCGCTTATGATTTTGTTGCTGAGGTTCAACAACAACTTCCAATGCAAGGCTTTTAGGAGTAGATCCTTTCCGAGGAAAATTTCCAATGAAAGCACCATCTTCAAGCAAAATATCCGGTGATGCAGCAATCAGCTGTTGGACCTGTTTAAATTAGAAGAATTATTAAAGTGCGATTGTGTATGAACAGACTTGAAAGGTTGATGTCCAAGTCTGTGTGTGAGAAAATTTGACATGCTTCCCACTTTGGACCCGCACAAGAGATCATTTTTACCTTTATCAGCCTGTGCAATTCAAACACTTGGACTGCAAACACTCTCTGTTGACTGTAGAGAGGAATGGGAGTTCAATCAAGAAATTTACACAATACTCATCCAATGTAAAATTGAGACAGATAAAATCAACATAAAATGGAACATGATGCATTTGGAACTAGAAATGATAATGTCGAATGGACTTTTATAAATCATATAATCAATACCTACCAAAATAAAAGGATCTCCAATCACATCAGGTAAGAAGTCAATTCAGCCAAATATCTACCATTATAGAACTCAGACGTATCATATTTTCTCAACCATCTTAACATGACTCTTTTAGGAGGATTGAAATACATAAACAATATACAAATATTGCAACTGTAGCTGTTTTATAACAGATAATGTGCCTATTCAGGTCATAGATTTCTACAACTCAAAAGCTTGCTCACGTCATATAAAAGAATTTAGCTCCTTTTAAGTAAGCATGTGTGAGGATAAGGTGAAAGCTCTTCTAAAGTAAAAGTAATTTAACACACTTTCATCTTTCTGACTTCAAAGGAACAAAATCCAGTTTAGTATGGTAAAAGCTCAGAGAGAAAAACAAATTATATATTCAGATGAAATATTTAAGCTATTTCGTCATTTCTGGTTCTAGATAAAGACCAGACTCAACCAGAAAGCATTGAGCATGCAATCAACTATGGTTACTTTTTTTCTGGGCATATGTACATCAAATCATATAATATATGTCTAATCCATTTGCACAACTATTAGATGCGAGAACATGCCACAGCTAAATAACTACAGGCTATAGCAACAAGTATATTAAACTACTATTATAAAGAAAAATCCCAACACAATCCCTGAGGGTATGTTTGGGAGTTGAGTTTTGGAGGAAAAAGGAGGAGAGGACAGGTTTTTTATTTTCAATAAATATTTTTTAATTTGATATTTTTTTTAAAATAAAGGAAATACAAGGATAGATCAGTATACATGTGTAAATCTTTTGTTTATTTTTGTAAACATTATATAACTCTCTTAATTTTAAAATAAAAACATTTGTCCTTCCTTTCTAAAACTCAAATCCCAAAAATATCCTAAATGCCTCGAGACACAGAAAATTAAGGCACTACAAAATGGAGGAAGAAGGAAGGAAAAAAAAAAAAAAACCCTTTTGTCATAACATCTATTAATGATTCATCAAGTTATCTTTTACTCTCTAAATGTCCCTACCATACTCCCTGGGGTTATCCTGCATTACTTGGTCCCCTTCTTAGCCCAAGTCTTTCAGTGCAGTAAGGGCAAGCACTATAGTAAGGAAACTTGCCCGAGCGGTCACATGGAGAACCGAGTAAGAGGAAAACCAAGACAGGAATATATCAAATAGTGAATCATGAGATGATCTGCTGTCACAAGGATCCCCCTTCAACATAGTACAATATTTTAAGACTCCTCACCACCCTGTTGTAAGACGATCCAGTACCCACCATTAACTCATTATTTAGGACTTTGAACAAAAAAAGGAAAAACAATTAAAATGGGACCCCAAGATGATCATATTTTCTTCCTTCAAAGCTGCATTTACAACTCCTCAAATGAAATCCAAATATCCAGGCCATTTGCCTAGGATAGCTACAATGCGTACAAGAAACTACTGCAGCTCTACATTTTTAAACACAGGAGAAAGGTAAATACCAGTAGTAAGGGGCTGTAGGGTAAAACTTTGACATATTTTCATACCACACCTCATATCCAAATCAAATATGCATGCAAAATAAGAAAGGGATCAAACTAAGGATAATCAATTTGGGTGGACAAATCAACCTAAGGGTTTTTTATTCCAAAATTCTGCAAAAATGAACATAGAAAACAAGTTATGACTTTGTTTACAAGACAAAATCATTAAGTTTTATAATATTTACAAAACTCAAAAGTTACAAGTATCATGCAGCTGAAACATATAAGAGAATTCACTTATCATAAATCAGTATAGGGATTGAAGTTAGAGATCACCACTGTATCGCATGCTACTGACAGTCAACAAGACTTACTTGGCAATTTCTCGTCGTGCTTTCCAGAACCGTTTTTGACCTATTATGCCTACAACATCATCAGGAGAAACTTTCAGGCATGATATTTTTTTTACAATGGAAACCTTGGAAAAGTCACCACTTTCTTCTAAATTTTCCTTCTGTATTGGGCTGCCAGACCCGGTGTCATGATATTCAGCGTCATTGGATGCCTCAAGTAGACTGGTTTGGTTTGCTGTGGCACAAAAGCAGCCTTTTGGTACAAGGGCATTTTCATTATCCATATCCCTTGTAGAGAGATCATTTCCCCGATCAATTTCTTTGTATTGGGACCCATCTACATACTCCTGCTGTAAGCAAGCATCATCCTGACATCTTATATTTGGCACGGAACAATCTTGATCCTCTTGATTTGGAAACACTTTGGCTTGCATCACTTGATCTTCAATTTCTCCACTTGCTTTGTTTTTAACAGACATTATAGGTTGCTGTCTACTTGAACTTACTTTTGGGTGCCCTTGATTCTCACTTCTCACATCTTTTCTCATACCAACGAGGGGGGAGCCAAATTGTGTTGGACTTGGATCCTTGTCAGCATCATTTTGCAGTGAAACTGAAGAACAGAAATTCCTAGTGCCCAAAGGAGTGAATTTTTTTTTATTGAAACTCTCCAGTGTTTTGTCATTAGACTGACCAGCCCTCGATTGAATATATACACAAAAGTCATCTTCGTCCACTTTTTTTCTCTGTTCAAGTTGCATAAATGAAGTGTTAGAGCTTCCTCCATCAGATTGGCCAGAAATATAACTTTCGGCTCGACAAGTGGGTGTTTGTGAAGGCAAACGAACAGGGAAGATATAATTTCTCTCACGGCCATTCCCCTGAAAATACGTATATTCGTCTGAGATATGCATAAAGTCAATCACAAACCTTCACCAAACAGCTTAAAGTTTTGGGAGAGTTACTAGTAAACATCAGAACAGATCCCTCACAATAGAACAGTAAGTAGTTTAATTGTTGCTGCATCATTCTTCTAAATAAAATTTGAATTTCAGAACTTGATTAAAAAAAGGGCATGTATAGAACCTTTCATGGTCTTTCTTCTGTAAAAACTTAAAAGACATTGCAAGAGTTGGTGCTTGACAATATCTTAATCTACAGTCTACACGCACATAGAGAGAACATAAAGAGAGACTTATAAAATAAGAAAACAATGGTTAACACACAACTCAGACCCTAAAATTTTTTGTCCATACAAATTAGTCCTTTGGTTGATAAAATTATTCACAAGTTGACACTTTTGCTGAACAATTTGTGAAGAGAAATTTTTACAGGGAAATTGCTACATTAGGCACCAAATGGTATATTAACTCAAACAACAAAATCCTAGGTAGACAATTTAAGCTGCTAAATTTCTGGTCCCATGCTAAAACCAACTAAAAACAAGCACAAACTTTTCAAGATTAAAAATTTAAAAACTAAAACTGGCTTATAAAAAGAAACAAAACCAAAACTTACTCGGGTTGAGGATGGTGGTTGAGAAAGTATGTTAGAAGAAGAATTTGGGTTGAACCTTTGAGAAGGAATACTAAACTGTTCATAGAGAGCCATCTTATTCCTAGGTGGTGCTCGTGGTCCTCCTTTCTCTGTATCATTCACATGTAACCTTGGGAACATCGGCCCCTTCTCTTCTTCCTTCCCTCTCTTCATCCTCGCCCTTCTTTTTCGATCTTAAATTACAATACCCAGATGAAGTAAACTGAAGTCCTAAGAGGAGGAACAGTTGACGGGAAGAAAAATAATGGGCAACGACAGCAGAAAAGTACGGGGAACGAAACAGGAGAGTTAGGGATTCTCAGACAAGGTCTCTCCGAGCTGAGAGAAGAAAAAAGTGCGGTCTTGTGGGGCCCACTACAACATCTATCTACACTTGTTTAGATTTTCTTGTTCATATTGTTTTTTTTTCTTCCTTTTTCTGACTAATTATTACCTTTTGTATGTAATGACTAAGTTTTATTTATTACTTGTTTTTTTGTACTTTAGAATAAAATAAAACACTTTTGTTAACTGGTTTTAGGAAGACCGTTCAATATCTTAGGTTCAGATTATTTTTAAATTGAATAAAATTATTTTTAAGTTATTAAATTTGTTTGATTTAAGATTGAATAATATTGGTTTAATAAAATTTAAAATTATTACATTAGAAGTTACGAAAATTAGTTTTAATAAATGAATAAACAAGGTTTAAACGTAGTTAAACTATGAACTTGAGTCAATTTAAAAAGTTTTTTATTAAAACATATGCCACTTAACTGAAACTAATCATAAGTGTTTATTAAAATGAACACCAATGTTCAAGGAATAAATTTTTCTTTTTTTATTTGTTTATTTTTTTAAGTAAAAAAACATTTTTTATTTTAACAAATATTTTTAAACATTCACTGAATGGTGGGGATAACAGTTTTTTGCTGGTTTGTGATTATCAAGCTTTATATAACAGGTATGGTAAAAATGTTTTGACCCTTTTTTGATAAACTTACTTAAAATAAGTAAGAAATGTACTTTAAAATAATTAATAAGATGTTAGATTTTTAAGCACATGTTTAAACTAATTAATTTTTTAAATATATACATTTTATAATAATTCACTAAAAAATACTTGCACAGATATGCATCAATTATATTTGAATAAACATTCACTTTAAGTCATAAAATATACACAAATAATAATAAGTCTTTAAAATTGTAAATTTAAAAATATAGTATTCAAAATTAATAAACGTCAATCACTTTTGTTACTTATAAGATATTATGGTATTGATTTATCACGTTAAGTAAAACTTGCATTATAAAAATGACTTGTAAAAGTTCTCTTCTCTATATATTTATATATCAATATCATTTTATTCTTTTCAACACAATACTCAATCAATGATACATATGGTGACAGCGAAATTGGGACAACATTTTTAAGCACTTGCTAGGATTGTGAATTCCCCCTCGTGACATTTCCTTATATACTTTACCAAAACTATGGATGCCAATAACCCAACTCTCATCAAAATTGTTTCTAGCCTCTAGAGTTATGATGAAAGGAATGTGATACTCAAATTTTGAAGCAGCACTTGTTGTTGTGCCATTAGAATATTTACTTCCCATGGTGTGAGAAGTTCCATAATTGATTGATAAGGGAATCCATGTTTTTGAATACCTTGTCTTTCTAAAGGTCTTCTTTTGTTGTATATTACAAACAAAATTTCAATCAAGATCATTGTACTAGATGCTCCAATACTCACACCCACTATCATTCCAACTTTCTTAGAATTTGAACAAGTAGTACTCATGACAGACACAATAATTAATTAAGACTACTCATAAAGTTATTTACTTTATGATCTCTAGCCCATTTGAAATAACATTAGAATAATCTATATTCAAAGCATAAGGGCTAATAGTTAGAGTTCGCTGAAGTTAAAGTTTATGTTTTGAAAAAGAAAAATTATGATTCAAATTAGAGTTTTCAAAATAAACAACTTACATTAAAAAAATATTGTAAAACAACGTTGTTTTTAGTTTATCACTTAACGTGATAACTGAACAATCTTTTATCTATTTTTAATACTTCCTAACGTAGAGAGTTAAAATAATTAATATTTACTAATTTCAAGAACTACATTTTTATATTTATAATTTGAAAAATTAATTTAATGTATATTTTAAGAATTAAAATAAACATTTGCTCAATTTTTTTATGCCAACGTTAAGTATTTTATTAAATCTTACAACACGTGAACATTGTAATATTATGATCTTAGTCAAATAGATTTCTTATATATTTTTTTGTAAAAATGATATTATATAGTTAGAAAATTTCTTAAAACTTTAATGCAATTAAGTTGAATGTAAAATGATTGCTGAATGAATATAATGATAGACATAACTTATTAAAATTAGTATATTAAAAGTGGTAACGAAACAAATTTATTGCCTGATTGTTTTGGAGTTAGAATCAGTAAAAGTTGATTTTGAGTAAACAAATCAACGATTAAAATAAAAGGAAGTACTGCGGCCAGCGGTGAATTTTATTTTTCCCCCGATTATACCATAATCAAATTTCAGTTTTAACCAATCAAACTCTTAGTTGCTCAACAAGGTAAAATCAATTTATTTATTTAGTTTTATTAACTTATTAACTTAGTTTAAAATAGAAACGACGATTTTTAAAAAGATTTAACCGACTATATAATTATTTTATTCCATCATTATGAATAAACTCAGGCCAAAATGTTGTACCAGCTACCAAATACAATTAGGCCGAACAGTTCTACCAAATAAAATTAGGCCTAAAAGTTGTCCCGGGAAAACTTCGTCAGCAAAATGAACCTCTTAATTTGCAACCAATTAGAATTGTGGATCCATCAAAATATATGAGGATGATAGTGTCTCCCTCTAATTGCTGGATCCTGATAATGGGTCAATGGTTAGCAAAAGAATGACTAAAAGATTGCGTTTTAAGATGAACAATTTTTACTTAATTTATTTAGACACCGAATAAAAAATAAAATTAATCGTTAAATTGATAATATATATATATAGAAGCGCTGGGGAGTGATCGTTGGTTGCGGGTTGTTCATTCTCAGTGTCAGGGATTCAGTGAAGCTCCATCTTCGTGAGGAGTGGGAAGAGCACTACATAAAAGCAAGATTCGATATGAATCTAAGTCGTCACTCTGATCATATTTTAAGGAAATAACTGTCAGTGTTTTAAAAGCTTTCCAATAAAATTAATAATACTTATTTTCTTTAAAATGAGTTAAAAAAAAATGTTTCAGTTATATATAATTTAATCCTTCCAAAGCAATTTCTTTCTTTCGTATTAAAGATAACATATTCAAAACTCAATCTTTCTTTCATAACACACTTGTTCTTTATTAATAAAAAAATTTATTCTATTTTATAATTTTTGTTAATTTTAATTCTTAAAATTAAATTTAAACATTTAAAATAAAACACTTTTAGGGAAAAATATATTTATTATATTAAAATTTTAAAAATATAATAAATATTTAAGTTAATATTTTATTTTGTTATTTTTATGATTTTTTAAAAAAACTAATAAAATACCAACGTTAATATTTTTATTATATATTATTTTTTACAAATATTTTTTAAAAAATTTATAAAATCATATTAAATATAAATTTTTTGTTTATTAAAATTTGATAATTTTTTTATTTTGTATCTTATTTTTTAAAAACAATTTTTTTTAATTTTTTAAAAACACATTTATTCATATAATTAATACTTATTTACAAATTAATTTTAACAGTTAAAAATTTATATTTTAATGTTTGTGTAAGTATTTTTCTTAAGTTTGAGTTCATTTCATTCATCTAACACAGTCAATATATTTATAAACAGTAATGGATAATCTAAAAATATTTATTAACGAAAACATTAAATAATATTTTTTCAGAGATAAAAAAAAAACGCGTTAAATATAAATACTAAATTTATAATTTTGCTTTGATTTTTTTTATTGCCCAAACACAGCGTTAAAGTGTTGACCGTTCGACGGGAGAACAGGTAGCTAATAGCATTCCATTTGGTTTGCCTTGTTCGATAGAAAAAGGGAGTGAGCAGAGCGGAGTGCAGAGCAACGAGTGTCTGTGTGTGTGATGTGGTTGGATATTGACTTCCAATCACATGGCTTCTTCTCTTCCCTCTTATTTCACACACCTTCCTCTTCCTTCACTTTCAACCTCTCACTCAGGTCACGCTCCTTTTCGCAACTCGCTTTTCACCTTTTCCTTCTCCATTTTCTGCTTCATGCGTTTCGTACATCGCGCTTCATTTAGGGTTTTAGCTTTCTTCAATCCACTCTTTGTTTCAAAAAATAAAAAATCTGATAACTCGCGGATTTCCAATTATGTGACAATTTGATCGGTTTAGTTTTTGTTTTTCAGCATGTTTGGATGAAGAAGAAGAATCGATTATTTTTGAAAAGCTATTTAACAATTGTACCTTCAAAATAAGTTGAATCATACACGCGTTAACATTGTTGTTTGAATTGTACTTGTTTTATCAGTTGCGGTGGAAATTGACGAATTCGATTTGCTATTATCAGGTGAGAAGCGCGTGGATGACGATGAATCGCGCGTTCCGATTCACATCGTGACCGTCGCGTCTCAACTTCCCGTTGAATTTTTGGAACCCTCGCCGCAATCGCAGCTTGTTATTGGTTTTGACTGCGAGGGTGTTGACTTGTGTCGCCATGGCACTCTCTGCGTAATGCAGGTCACCTACCTCTACTCTGTTGTGTTATTATTTATTTATTAATTGGTTTATTTTGGTGAATTTTCTGTGATTATTAATTAGTGTTTGCATAAATAGAAATAACTTATGTGTTAATAGCAGCAATATATTATTGCTCTGTTGTGTTATTATTTAATTTCCTATCGTGATTGTGGGGGGCTACGGACTGTGTTGTTTGTTTGAATTGCATTGTTTTTTGTTAAGTGTTGTTGTTGTTATTATGTTTGATCTTTGCAATTGGCAAAGGATTTCAGTTAAGTTTCATGTTTCTGCAGCTTGCATTTCGTGATGCTGTATACCTGGTTGATGCAATTGAAGGGGGAGAGGAGCTTATCAAAGCCTGTAAGCCTGCACTCGAGTCTAATTACATCACAAAAGTGATTCATGATTGCAAACGGGATAGTGAGGTCTCTGATTTATTTGATTGCTTCCTCCCCTGACCCTTCCTCTTTTGTAAATGTTGAAGTTTAGGGAACAAATAATGAGAGAAAAATAATAAAATGTTTGAGAGGCTTGACTTGTAATCTTGTCATTTCCCAATTTGACCTACCATTTAAAGCCCTTATTTACTTCTTGTTGTTTTCTAGGCATTGTACTTCCAGTTTGGCATCAAGTTGAACAATGTGGTGGATACCCAGGTGAGCTTTCATATTACTAGGCAGCCTTCACTATTCTTCTTTCTCATTCTTACAGGTCTTGTTAAGTGGACATAATAAATCACTTCCACTTTCACGATTTGCATGTATTTCTGGTTAGAAAAAACTTAAGTGTTTTGGTGCTGTTTTTTAGTCAAAGTTAGAGTTTACCTCGGTAAAAGGTCCACCTTTAGTGCTTTTTGCGGGTTACCTAGGAACCCTACTTTTTCTTCCTATCCTTGGATGCCACACATCTTTCCAGCTGGCGTTAGTGTATGTGCTTGGTTTTCTTCTCTGCTGTGTTTCATAATCTTCAATTAATGAATTGACCCTACCACTAGAGCTTGAGGATGCCAGTCAATTAATCCTCACAAGTGTTCCAGGAAACTCCCTTCCATGTGAGACCCATCTATGGTGGCCTTTTGGCCTCATGCCAGTATGTCAAACACCACCTTTACTAGCCATCAACTCAGATTGACCTGTCTCCCCATTTCTGGCCAATACCCAGCCAGGAATTGCCAGTTTTCAGTGTGTGGGAGCTCCTCTCTAGCCAATCTCCATGCATGCCACTCCAACATCACTGCTCAACTATGGTTCACCCTCTTTCCTCTATCTTAACATTGGTAAAACATTGAACACTGTTGGTGCTTTGTCTACTTTCGCCTGCTAGGAATACATTTACAACTGTATCAGTGTCATTCTATTCCTTCCCACACCTAAGCCTCAAGGACAAACTCAGACAGCAAACAACAGTACATCTGCTGCAGACGATAAATGGGTCTGCATACAGTTATGATTAGGATGCTTCAAATTTAGTTGTTGATTATAATCTTGAGCAGACTATCAAACAAATTATGTACATGAGCAGGGTAGTGGCAAAGTTGGTGTTCAAGCAGCTTACCATAATGTGTGCTGTAGATTATTTATATTATTATAATCCGGAAGCAGTAGGAGTTCCTGTGCTCGTTACTTGTAATAAAGGTAGTTGGACAACTAAAAACAGGTGGGATCACTTCTGGAGCTATTCTTGGAGCACATAAATATCTCCTTTGACTAATTTTACGCAAGACAATTTATAGCATTTGTTGAATCTCTGGAGTCTAGAATGTTGCAAACAATCCACAGAAGCTCTCACACTGTTGCTGGCCTATTTGAATCCAGTTTTTATTGGAGTCATCTTGTTCCTACTCTTTCTATTAGTAACTGTCTCTTGCTTATACAATGATTCTGTGGTGAAGTTTTACAAGGTTCAGGAATAATGTCTTAGATGCATTGTGTCACTGAAATGTAGTATGTGTAGCATGCGGGTTATGATTTAATTTTGGTTTTGTTGACAAAAGGTTAGTGTGGAAAAAACATATACCCATAGACATACAACTATACCACTGGTAACTTTTGAGGAATGATTTGTGCATGACCTAAACATTAACAGGGTTTCCCTCTTAGAAGAGTTATTCTTGAAGTGGGGCTTCTTTGCTTGTCCCTATCATTAGTGGTCCATTTGAATTGAAGTAATGTCTAAGGTTGGAAAGAGGTGAAAATTTTAATGCGATTAAGTTTAAGTTCCCTTAGCTATTTTCTTAACTTTATTTTCCTTTGTTAATATTATTAATTTTTCCATAGTATTCCTACACTTGCATAATGCGGTTGTATGTCTTCATCCTTGTGTTCTGTTGAGTCATTAATCATGTTTGTTGTTTGGTTCAGATTGCTTATTCACTTATAGAGGAGCAAGAAGGACGAAAGAGACTTCCAGATGACTACATTTCGTTTGTTGGTCTCCTTGCAGATACACGTTATTGTGGTACTGTGCGTCGTCGTATCCATTAAAATGTTTTTGGTTGGTCGAGGTTCTTTATGTTATTGACCACGTTATTCTAGATACAGATGATTAATAGTTACTAATAAGTTCTTTTAAGTTTTAAGTCATTTGGTTCATCCCTCCACATTCACTTTGAGGATTTGCATGTAGGCATATCATATCTTGAGAAGGAAGAAGTTCGTGTCCTCCTTCGACAGGTTGGTTTTAGAATAATCTTACTTGGTTGAAAAAAATAATATATTTTTGTTTCATATTCAAAAGTTAAAATTGTTGGCCAGCATGCATGTTTGATTTTATTATTTGATGTAATGTCCAAGGTTTGATTAGCACCAAACAAACAAACAATACAAAGTACAGACCATGTTACTAAAAAAAATTCTAAAGGAAAGAGTTAACAAAACACCATTAATCTGGATATGATGTCATTTTCATTTATTATGCTTCATAATTTGTGAATTTTATTTATCCACTTGTAGATATTGATTTGTATGTTCAGGTCATGGTCAATGAAAATAGTTTCATGGGCGATCAAAGTAGAAATAGGAATTGTTTATATGATCTACACAAAATCCAAATAATCTGTCATATTGTGATGTTATTTCTAATTTTTTTGTCAGGACCCCATGTTTTGGACATACAGACCTTTATCTGAACAGATGGTCCGTGCCGCTGCTGATGATGTTCGTTTTCTTCTCTTCATCTATCACCAAATGATGGAGAAATTAAATGAGCAGTCTTTATGGTATCTTGCAGTTCGTGGTGCCTTGTATTGCCGATGTTTCTGTGTGAACAGCAATGATTATGCAGATTGGCCATCTCTACCTCCAATTCCAGGTCTATAAAATCTGAATGAGAGCTCAAAAAATACATTTCCTTATTTATATATCATGAAATTATGAAACTAGATGGATACACTATGTTGCCATTTGCCTTTAAATTTCCTTTACTTTCCACCACGGTGTTTAATTTAAAATTTAAACAGTATGATGTATGATGTCAGTCATGATGTTTAACTTAAAGGTAATGACATAATTTGCAGATTATCATAAAAGAGTGAATATATGCAGCTTCTAAGTAAACTCATAAAGAGAGAAATTTGACATGAGACATGAACTGAAACTTCCTGGTGGGATTGGGGGGTTCTTACCTTTTTTAGTGTTGTTACTCCTCTTGCAGGTTCATATGTAAATTATATTATTCAGTGAAACTTTGGTCCATTTTGTTCATTAGCCTATATTACAATTGACAATGAAGTATTTCAATTTTAGCTTTCTGTGTAAATCTACTGTAATGATAACATTTATTCTAGGAATGCTTGTTTGATTGATTCATGCAATTGATTGTTTGAAGAATATGCTTTCCTGTAGATAAGCTTAAAGTTGATGGAAATGGTCCTGAGGAAGAAATTCTTTCAGTTCTTGATGTTCCACCAGGAAAGATGGGACGTGTTATTGGGAAAAAAGGGGCGACAATTTTGTCAATTAAGGATTCTTGCAAGTAATAATTTGTTCCTTTCCATTCCCCTGGTTTAGTAAATGCATACCTTTTTTGGTATATTAGTAAATAATTTGATCCGTTGTCTGTTTTAATTTTCAAATGCATTTGTTGGTTCAGTGCGGAAATTCTCATTGGAGGTGCCAAGGGCCCACCTGACAAGGTTGGTATATCAGCACCATGTGCCCTGTGCTTGATTTTTTATTTTTTAATTTGTGGTTTGGTATTGATTAATTACTACATCTATATACTATTTTTCCCTCTAGTTATTCCGTACCAGTACTCTGAGGACTTGCAGAAGGTGGTCTATTTCAATTTTTATTATTGTACACACCTATTACTGTCAATATTGCGTCTTAGACTTGCAACTGATCTTGTTACAATGGATTTGATTGAGAATCCCTATGATCTCCAGATCATTTTAGACTTAGGTCTCGTTTGAGTGAATTTATGGATAAGTCCTTGTAAGAGAAGGAAAAAAAAATATAAAAAATGAGCGAAGCTTCTCTCATAAATTAAAAATAACTCATCTCTTTATATTTTAAAGAAGTTAAATGATAACAGCTTGTAAAAAATAGTGAAGTATAAGTTAATTTTAATTTATGAGAGATATTTTATTTATTTTTTATGTTGTTTTTGTTCTCTTATAAGAACTTATTCACGAACTCATCCAAACAGGGCTTTGGTTAATCTGAAAAAGTTCATCTGCAAGGGTCATTCTATTATCTTTTCTTTTAATATGCTATTCCAACCACCTTTCTTCGTTCAATTTTGAACATAATTTGCACATGAAAACACTGTTATGCAGGTCTTCATCATGGGACCAGTGAAGCAGGTGAGAAAAGCCGAGGCCATGTTACGAGGTAGAATCTTGGATATGTAGTAAGGAAATGCTTTACTTCTCTGGCAACCAAACTTCTGCAATAAATTATTTTTCTGAGCCAATAGTTACTGGCTTACTGCCTCTGATACTTGGAATGAGGTAGTGAGATGGGTGTTGTTCAATACTTGGGGTTCTTTTTTCCATGGTTATATCTGCTGGAAAAGAGGGGGAAAATTAAAGAAAAAAAATATATCAAGTTTTAATCAACTAAACTGAATAAACTTTTTCAACTCAAATATTGAGAATTTTATTTCAGTACTTATCACTCTAACCTGACTCCTTTCCCCCTCACAAAATATATTTTTATTTTATTTATGGAATCTATATTCTAAATATATGCAACATTGAAGCGTTCACAAGCTCTTATTAGAAATGACAACTGAACTCAAATATGAAAATTACACACAATGAGTAAAGTTTTCACCCATCAAATCGATTTTTAAGTAAATGTATGTGTGCAAGAATGCGTACTATAATATCAAGAGTAAGTTAGTTCAACCTCTTTATTTACGCTTTTTGTAAAACTCTCCTCTATTTTTAAATGCTGTACAAAAACTCCCTATGTTTTTAAAATGTTACACTTTAGTCCAATTTTGATGTTGCACTTGATAGAATTCATTAGTGAATGATGCACAAAATCCTTTAAGTTAAATTTTAATTCGTTGCACAAATTTTTTGTGCTTTAACAACCCCCCCCCCCCTTTATTTTGTAAATGCTCAACACTCAAATGTGTTATGATTAAAAAATTAGAATTATAACTTACTAAGACAATGAAATTCTTTAAAAAGAATTACAGTAACACAGGAAATAAGTAAAAAAATGATTTTATATCTTAATTATTAAATACTTGGACAACATTTTAAAAATGTTACAATAATTATTTAAACTAATTGTTGTCATGGGGGCTATTTCTTAAACATTAATTACCAACTAACTGTAATAGGATCGAACAAAACATGTTTTCTTAGTTTAGTAGATGAAAAAAGGGTATTTTGAGGTTTTTAAAACGTACATTTAAAAAAATTAATTATGAAAGCATCGTAAGGGATATTTTGAACAAAATTAGGGTTCTGTGTAGGATTTAAAATTAGATAAATTGGGATAATAAAAGGTATTTTAGTCACTTTAATACAAAAGATAACAGTTTGATTATTAACTAATGGTTCTTTTAAGTGGATAAAAGTTGGACTAAAAGTGTAACATTTTTAAAACATAAGGGGTATGTAGGATTTTAAAGAGATGTTGTAAGTAGCGCAAAATAAGAAGAAGTTGGAGTAATATACTCTATTATCAATGTTGCTTGTACAATATAATTATTATATTTTATAATTATAATTTAAAATATTTTAAAGAATTTTGCATTTAAGTTAAATTTTGTTTATAATGTTTTATATTAGAAATTGTATTATCTTTAAATATATTTTAATTAAATTATATTTGGTACTTTTAATTGATGCTGTCAAACAAAAACATTGATTGATTTTATCCAAGTTAATTAAAATACAATAATGAGTTTTGAGAAATAGGTTCCAAACATTAAGGGCACAAGTATTAAAGTTGCTATTTTTGTAGGCATGGATGCTTATAAACATTTGGATATTTGGAGCAAATTTTACTTTTATTTTAAAAATAATTTTATATTTTTAAAAATAAAATATAATATAAATAATTTTTAAAAATAAAATATAATATAAATTTGTATTATATTATATTTTTAAACATTTAAAAAAAAATTAAACATGCTCTTGATATTTGTCTCTTAAAATTTATATTTAAAAACTTCATGTGAAATTTAAATTCAATTTTTTTAACTGAACCTCTTGATGTGAACTAGGGGATAAAAAAAAAAGAAGAGAAGAAAATTTAGGCTTTCATTATCGAATAAATTAGAATTTAACCAAAACTTTTCTTCCCTCACCGAATAAATCTTCATCTTGCTGTTTTCGCCGTTATTTTTTCTGTGCTACATTTCCTATCAATCTCACCTTTGGAAGGATAATCGAGGCAAATAGTTACAATAACGTAATCAATATGTGGAATGACTGAACCAATGAAAATGTAAAATCCACGATTATGAAAATAATGATTGCGGCAAAATCCTTGACCAATCAATACACACGCATGCATTGTAACGTGAATCAAGCTGGGTCCGAGACTATGTCTGAGAACTAACAAATAGATGACCAGCCTATTAAAATAGAAATTTGAGAACCAACATATAGATGACCAGCTTACTAAAATAGAAATTGAATGTCATCGACTCGGTGATTCGAGTTCGGGCAAATAAAACCAAATCATAAACCAGTAACCTCTTGGAGATTCAACTTCAAGTTTGAGACCCTACGATCCAATGGCTATTTTGAATTTGATTAATTTGAGTGAAATACTCAGTTATGAAGACAATGCTCTCAATGCGCATTTTAACTTCAAATTAGATTTATTAGACTTCGTTTCAGAGAAAAAAAAAAAAAAAAACCAACAATTAGATTCATTTGCTTGCAAAGATGCAGCAACTAAGGATATGTTTGTTTTCTATTTTAAAACTTGAAATCAAACATATCTTAAGATTTCAACTTCGAATTTTCCCAAATGATTTCTGCGCGGCAGCCCCGCTTGTCCACTATGCTCAAGGATTTATTTAACAGTTTCTGTTAAACTTGCGAATTAAATGAGATGACTAAAGATTATTTAGATGATAGCCTCCGCTTTAGTAGTGGCTCCACGCCCCTTTAAATTAAATAATTGGCATAAACACCAGATTAAGCAAGCAAGGAAGGTTCTGACACCAAAAAAGAATAAAAAAAAGCAAGCAAGAGAGGTTAAATGTTGAAGTTTGGCCCGACCGAACAAACAAGGGGAAATAAGCTTTCATATGTTTATCTCTAAGCGATGGCTAACATGTCAACAGCAACCTTATTGTTGACGCGGATATTTTACAACCCATAAGTAGTGCCACCATATATTTCACTACAGTCTGCGGGAAATTGCAATCAATCAAGATGTAAACAGCGTTTTAGACGCAACAGTAACTTAAAATTTAACATAATATAATCACAAGTACAAAACCATGCCAAAAGGTGACAAGCTCGGTAACGCCTACACACAAAGAATGAAGGAAAATGTGACAGGATGAGTGTAAAATTTGAGAATGTTACTTTTGGAACCCACCAAATTGATATTGTTGGCTGCTAAGGTTTGAGAATATGTCGTCTCCAGCTGCTGGCTGTGAAGGAGTGAATTGATATTGTTGGTTTGACATACCAAGACCAGATCCTGAACCCATAGCTCTCCCCATGAAAAATGAAGGTGGAGGGCCTTTCTCCCTTTCATCTGATCCATCGCTCAATCCGCCCACAATCCCAACATCTGCAAGGGATACTTTCTTGGCTGCAAAACAATACAAGAAAATTACAGAAGCTACTCAAATAATTGGCAAATTAGGGGGAAAATGAAAAATGTGCTCGTACGGTTTTAAGCACAATTTTACTTAATAGGCAAATAAACAGAACAAATTGCTCTCTGGAGTACATTTATTTGAGCGCATCGTTTAGCTCATTGATTCATGATAGTGGTCATGCATAGGGAGCAAGGGGGAAATGGATGAACAAACAAGTGGTTTACTGGGATCATCCAACCAAATTCATGTACACATCTTTAAGCCAGGGACTTGGGCATCTTTAAGATATCATATACAAGAATGCAATGGATTAACCACAGTGAGAGGCACAATATCCTGTCCCAGAAGGCTAAAACCCTGATGAATAAATTGTGCTCGACTGTACTCTTAAAGGAAAAGGATCATAAAACTACAGATTATTTAATATGCAGTAATGCAGATATAGGGAACAAAATTGAAACATATCACAAATGTATTATGCAGTGGAAAGCTGACAAAGTATCCAGGCAAATACACTTACGAGCAGTTATATTGAGATCAATCAGTCCACGGCTTAGTGAATCAGCCCAGATGCCAGACTTCACCTGGAAAGTATCCTTTTTAGGTGAAACTTTAGAGTCTGCTAAGGATTGACCATTTATATTATCATGCTTGCTATCACTGACAACATTATTGGAAGGCTGTGAAGATACAGAATCGGATTGAGATGTAAAGTCACCAAAAATATCAGATCCATCAAAATTATTAAGAGGAACAGCAGCAAAGGGATCAAATGTGCTGTTATTCATAGGACCAGAGTTCTCTGACTTGATGTCTGGCTGCTCTACTCGTTCAGGAATAGAAAACAAGTCAACTGTTGGTGTAACAGAAGGAATGGCTGGTTGCGAAGAAAATAGATCCACCTCAGCCTTCAAGCACAATCAATAAGAAACAAAAAGGAATGGAATTTTAGCAGTGTGACAGAAAAATGTGGGGAAAGAGGGTAAACCGGCAAATCCATTCTTCTCTCGAATGTCTCCCATGATTAATTCAGAATCACAATTAAAAAATTTTAGGATGAACAATTTTTTTTTCACATGCAATTAATACACTTAGAACAATATGAAAACTTTTTACATCACTAATAGTTGTAAATGGTGCACCTTGCCCTTCATCTTGATTCCCCTCCCTATCCATAAAAGCACGCAAATTTCTACAGTTTACCGTAACTATAATCTCCAAAACATAATTTTGAAAATGAAATATCATAATTCAACATAGAGAATAGACCAATATATTTAATTTAACGAAGTACAGTGAAGTCAATTGATCATATTTGAGCAACATTCTCATTTTTGGGGGCACCAATGATCATGGGTGAGGTAGGTATTGAGCTTAGGACCTAATTAATAGTAGAGATTTATTCCATTAAACCAGTGAGTGATTGGCAGCTGCCAGCAGACATGACAAGAAAATCAAACTAACACTAAAATTAGAGATGATGAAATACAACCTGTGGTTGAGAACTAGCTCCTTTGTCCTCATGAGGTGCTGCTGATACAAATGTTGCATCTGCAAAGAGATCGACCTCCGACACATTATTAGTTGCTGGCTTCTCTACAGGAACAGATGTTGGAGCATCCATAAGGTCACCAATTAAATCTTGTCCAAAGAGATCAACCTGATTAGAGCTTGTGGCTGAAGCCTCTGTTGAAAAGAAAAAACAATTCCATATCATTTAAAAGGAAAAGTAATCCTGCCCCCAAATATTTAGTCAAATACTCAATTCAACTTTTCTTTCTTTTTTTTGGGCAGTGCCTGGTGGGAGAGGGGGTGTAAAACTTACAGCATAAAACACCTTTGTTTATTGGTTGTTTCAGCACCAAATGGCCTTAGTTTGTCAGTATAAGAAAAAACAAAGCAGGTCACAATCAAAGAAAGGAAGCAAAGGGCATTAACTAGTTTGCAGTCAACTTAATGGTGACAAGTCTACAGAGATAATTGATTCTACCAGACATTATACAGGACTTTGAAGGCTTGTATGTGCAATTTGCATACGTGTCACATATAAATTAAAATGTGCACCACAATAGTAGTTTACTCTCAACTTTTTAATATTTCTACTAAATGAATGGAATCACTGAATCAGTATGTGCTATTACAAACAAAGCAGGTCATGCTCAAAGAAGGGCTAGAAAGGGGTTTAGGTATAGTTTGTAGTCAGCTTCACACTGAAAAATCAGAAAAGCAAAGTCTACAGATAATTGATTCTACCACCAGTATGTGGAATTTGGAAGGCTTGTGCTTGTAAGTACGAGTAGCAGGTGCATCACACACATAACAAAATGAGCATCATGGTAATTTATACTCCACATAAATTAATAGATCAATGGAATCAACAACTGCACTGTTGGAGACTAATACTTACTAGTAGAAGTTCCTCTTGGATCAAAATCATCCATGTCATCCTCAGTATTGTTTGCAGGTACACTTGAACTTTGAGAAGAAACTGAACCATAATTATCATAGACTTTTGCATTAGTTGATGATTTTGATACTCTAGGTGACATATTCTCCTGACTTTTGCTGCAAGATAGACATTCTTGCATAAGAATAAGGGCAATATAGTCATTGCAGTATAAACAGACAAAATGCATCCAAATCCAGTGCAAAGGTCAAAATTGTGATGAGCATCTAAAACATTAACCAAGTTTCCCACTTAAAAGTATTGTCAAAAGTCAAAACAAGCTTGCTGAACTAGGCAAGGATAAGTCCAGATCAAAGGCTTGAGCCTGGACATGTGTCCTACAATGGACATGTTTTTAACTCAGCACAAAATATTTAACTTCCTTTTATTTATGTACACTTCTCTAATATTTAATAGATCCATAAGATAAAACAACTTCTGATGTTAACAAATATATAAAAGTATAAACCTTCTAGAAAGCAAAGAGGGGCAAATTACAAAGAGTGCAGGCCTTATGTCATCCACATTTAAAGAGGTGCTTTTCGCATTATCATTCATTTTCAATTAATATTATGCTTTTATGAAGAACAAGTAAAAGTAACGAAGTCTGAGGTTTCATTTTGCAAACTCCAAGGTAAAGGGAAGATAAAAATTAAAACAATTTATGGATACATAAAAATATTCATGGGATATATCCCAAGTTAAATTGCAATGTGCAGACAAGAGATTGCATGCCTGTATGCTTATTATGAATGAATCATTATTTAGTAAAAAATTTCTATTCCTCAGTTTTGTGTCACTCCCTATTCATTCCTCTCTGATTTTCCCTCTCAGAACTTATGCTATGGTGCTTATGATATTATCCTTCAAGTATGTAAGTTGTGATACACATATACTTGTGGTGATTTTTATTTCTTACAATACTTTTACACTTTATTATTCTCGATATATGTTATTATATTTTATCATTATATTCTGTAAATTTTTCAGTCTACTTTTTGTATACTTATCATTTTATTTTAGTATAGCCATGTTGCTTCCAACATAGGGTGCAATGCCATCTGGCATTAATAACTAAATGTATACACCAAGTTCTAGACTAGTCACTAGTTGCTCCAACGTCAAACATACCTAAGCTCACATCAATATACTCCAATTATAGTATGGAACAATCATAAAATACATTTACCATTATTTGTAGACCATAATAGCAGTCAGACATGCCCTACCTGACAGAACGTGCAGAACCCTTCTTGAAAGAGTTCTCTTGATCATCACTTGCAATGGCATGGCGTGATTTTCCAGGGTAATCATTTTCATCCTTTTGTTCTTCATAGGACCCCTTGTCTCTATAGCTATCACTAAACCTGTCACCATCTCTAGAACCAAAGCCTCCATATTTACCACTACTCTGATAGCTGCCATATGAGGATGAACCAGACTTGTATGTGATTCCACTAGAAGAAACTCCAACATACCTAGATTAAGCACCCAAACCAAAACAAGAAAATTATTTTTTGACTTCACAATCAATAGTAGCTTTGTCAACCTCATAATTCAGGGATGAAAATTTTGATAAATTTGACCTACTTGTCACGGTTGGCAGCAGCTTTATTTCTGGCTTCATGTATCTTATCTCTATCATTCAAAAGGGACACAATATTTTCTGCCTTCTTCCGGACATTGAGTCCGACATCCTTCCCACTAGGCTCAACATATTCAAAGCTAGAAAGTGCCTTTAACAATCAAAAGTAAACAATGATTATGTAAGAAAATGATCTTTTATTCTGCTTGCCAGCACTGTTGTTAATTGCAAGAAAAAAAAAGTTCAATACAAGGGAATGGCTCTTACTGAGATCTGAAAAGTATGTTCTATAATGTCATCAACCGCTCGTTCAGATCCATGTCCAACCAAATACTCTATAACAGCTAATGCCTGACATAAAATTAATTGAAGTTACTAAAAGAAAAGCATGTTGTATGTATCAACATAGAAAATGCCAAAAAGCCTTATTTGGAAGTACATGGTTATTTGGAAAGTGTTACCTTGTATACATAACGCCAATCTTTTCCAGTTTCACCCAGTCTTGTCCAAAGGACATTCATGACCATCTGACATTCAGTGCTGAAAGTACGGCATAAAAAATCAATTTACTTGAAAGAAATATCAGAAAATTTCTCAAAATATGAAAACAGAAAAAAAAAAAAAAAAAAAAAGCAAAAAAGCAATGCAATCATAAAAGAGATGGATGTCTGTTACAATTTTTTGGTGGCCTGTGCAATCTCTGCCAGTGCAGTACCATGAGGACCCCAAGGTTCATTATCAGTTGCATCCAATACCTAAATTATGAAAAATGGTAAAACACTTAATAAAATAATATCAGTGGATTAGATTGACAGGAACCAACATGCTGCATTTTTAATTTTTCAATCATATAGTTATAAAAAATTAATATTGTTATAATAATGAAAACAAAGTATTTAAAATATTTTAATTTTAACATTAAAAATAAAAAAAAACAGAAAGAGACAGGAGATATGAGGAACAGTTTTCATTTTTCAATCAAGTAGGGGACAGTATTCAACCATGTAAGAGGGGCAGTTATTTTATTTATGAATATAAATAAAAATAATAATAACAGAAAAATGTATTAAAAAATGTGAATGAAATTCGCTTTATTAAGTAGTACATTTATACTTGAAGTTTGAAGATACATTTGCAGTCTATGTTTGTGGAGGAGCGCCACAACATATGATTCATCTCATAGTAACTTCACATAGATCACCACATTATGGTTAAGTAGAAAATAGAAAAGACAAACATGATTGTTAACTTCAAAATTGAAATCTAACAACAAATTAGATGAACGATTATTATTTACAACACTCCATATCTATCTGAGAATGTTATGTCATACACGAAGTTCCTCCCTTTACAGTCAGAAACCTGCCATCTCCATCAGTGACTGGTAAGCCCAAAACTAACAAATTTCCAACAACCATCTATACATGCAGTCAGGGTCATGGGTAGATCTTAAAATAGAGAGAAAAGAACATACATCAAGGCATCTTTCTTCTTAAGAGACTACAAAACTTCTGTAAACTGGGGTCAGAACTTTCAAGGACCAACTCTACCAAAAGCTTTAGATATTTGATGAAGGCCTGAAGTTGATTTATAAATTAAAGAATAAAGACCATGTCAATGATCAACTTCAACCAAAAGCTTAAATTATTCTGTTCTTAACAAGAAGAAAACAAGTAACATCTGGCCTTTGTTTTGGAAGTTGAAAGGCAGAGGCAACTTTGTAATATGATTTGAAATTTTTGAAATGAAGACAGGAAAGGGCTAGTGCACAGTTAGCCCATGTGGTTGGATGTTAAGATCCAATTGCAAGATATATGACAGAAGTAACACATTGTAAGTATGGGATTCTATGCAGAGTTTATAAAGCTTTGGCTATCCATAGGGATGGCAATGGGTAGGGTATAGGTAGGGAACTATAGTACCCATCTCTATACCCGTATTTTAAAAAGATATCCATACTCAAACCCATATCTGCATGAGTATGAATATTAATCCCAGTATCCGTACCCTCTGAGTACCCGCATACCTATTTTATACCCATTACCTGCACTTGTTTGAGAAAAAAATATTTATAAAGAAAAATATGTTTATATAACTTCACATAAGCAGCCTAATAATACAAAAAATCAATATGTAGTTGCCGAACAAGGTACAAACATAGATAAAAAAAATAAATATTCAAAAATTACAAGTGATAAATGTATTTTAATACAATAATTTTTTAAACTAAAATTCTTAGAAACAATAAGCGAAACTAAATACACAAGTTATTTGTTGGCAATGACCCTATCTTGTGTGAGATTCTATTGATCATTAACATCAGAGCGACAACGAAATAGATCTTCACAATAAGTAGCCTTTCATGTGGATAACTTGATGACTTCTTGTGGCAACTAACTATAATGAATAATGTTTCATAATTGCTAAGGTTTAATGAGATTGAGAATTAGAGTAGAGTTAGAACAGAGGAGTTTATGTACTAACAACGAAAAGTGAATACATACAAATTTTTTTTAACTTTTGAATTTGAAATTGTAAGAAAAATAACTGATTTATTTAAAATAATAATAATATAATTAATATATATTAATAGTAGTATTTTTAACTCATGTACTATACAAAAGTATTTTGTCAAAAATATAAATTTTTAAAAAATTATTTTAATGAATTAAATATTTATAATGTATATAAATTTTAAAAGAAAGAATTTGAATAAAAAAATAAATGGTCACAATAAATTTTATAATAAAGAAATATGTGTATATCAAAAAATTATACTTTTTTATTTGAAGAAAAAATTAACAAATAAGAATTAATAATATTTTTTTATATTTTATATCTTTTCAAAAACTTCTTTGAATGTAAATAAATAATAAGAATAATATTATTTAGATTCAATATATTATAGTTGTGCTTGTAATGCACATGTTGCATAAAAAATATTATTTTAAATTAAAATATAAAAAAAAATTTAAATATTATCAATAAATAATATGCTTACGGTAATAGTAGGTGATTATAAAATTTATAAAATATTTATAACATGTTTATTATTTATCATTCATTTTATGATTTAAATATTAATATGATTTTATTAACAAAAATATTTGTGTGAAAAATATTTTATATGTGTGTCATATATAAATAATATTTTTAAAAAAAGTCAATCTCATATCAACTATATAATAACTAAATTATATTAGCCTAATTAAACTATATAAAATAGTAAATATATTTTTATATTAATCTTATATAACTTCATATAAATAATATAATAATATAAAAATTTAATACATAATTGTAGAACAAAATTCAAGCATATATATATATATATATATATATATATATATATATATATATATATATAAAAACGAGATGGGTACTTAGATACTCATACTTACACCCATCTCTATTAAAATTTACGAGTATTTACCTATATCCATACTCATATAGGAGTAAATACTCTATCCATTGTAGATAAATTTTGCCCGTGTCCATCGGGTACTTTACCTATTGTCATCCCTAGTTATCCACCTACAATGACTAGCTTTGTGTTTTGGTTTTCCAAAAGTTTTAATATTGAGCAACTTGAAGATGTCTAATCCTAAATGTGATGGGCAGGTTAAGATGTCTTATGTAAGCTTTTGAAAGTGAGTTTTATCAGTCTGTTTCTAAATAATTATTGATCTTTTGTTTCCAAGCATGTTTATTAAATTTGAAAAATCAAAATGAGAAATAGAAAATCAAAACAACAAATGCTTCCTTAAAGTTTAAACTTAAAGTTTGAGAGTATTTTTTTTGGGTACAACAGTAGCCACAATGTTTATACTTATAACCTCATGCAAACTACCCAAGCTCCTGACTACTAGCTCAATCCCAGTGCCCTTTACATTTTGTGAATATATGAAATCAGGCAGTTATCCAACATCATGTGGCATCAACAAAATTTATTCGAAAATTGCGTGATAATAGATAGGTAGGAAAGTACTGTGTCGCAATCAATCCTCATAGGCGCTCCATTCAAATCAATGTTAGAGAAACGCAGAAATCCTTATAGGAAAAATACATTAATATTAAATGTGATTCGCTTACTCTAACAATGGATACTCAAATCGAAATACCATAATTTCTTAGAAACTAAAAAAATTAAAGGGGAAATTGTAAGATTTTCGACGAAATCTATGCAATTAGAGCAAATTGGCAACAAGCAGAGTGTTACCTTCTGTTCGATTTCGGGAACCTTGAGCACTTTCAGATTCACCTCTCTCTTTCTGTTTTCGCAAAAGCAATCGCAATCATAAGAACAAGATGATTTAATATTCGAATAGGAGATTGAAATAGATTTTGATTTTGAAGGAAAAGTGAAAATTGCAATGCAAAACAATGAAGGATTAAAAGGCTCACATTTCTCGAACGGTTTGATCGAAGACTTTCATGAAATCCATGGTGGATCTATGAACGAAACGTTGTGGATCTGATCTGATCTGAAGAAAAAGGTAACAAAATAGAAAGGGGTAATGTTAATTGCAGCAAATTGGATTTCTGATGGCTATGCTTCCAGTAGCAAGGATTTGAGATCTAATACACTCTTGTCGTTCTTTTATTTTTTATTTCTCTTTTATCCCCACACATTTTATTTTATTTTTTATTTATGTTTTATCTAGTACTCCGGTCCTCCTAATCAGAGTGCTGGTCAGGTAAAATTGGGGCCTAAAGTGATTTACCCTTTTTCTATTTTGATAAGGCTTTTCTATTTTGTTACCTTTTTTAAGAATAAATTCTTTAGGTGTTTGGGTTGTTAGACTTTAATCTAGTTTCTATTTTGTTTTTGAGCTTTTAAGTTTCGTTTATTAAAAATAATAAAATAGAAGATAATATTAAAAAAAAATTTGTATAAGTTGAAATTTTTATTTCATTATTTTTATTTTATAATATTATTTATTTTATTTTTTAAATACTTAAAAGTATACAACTAAGTCCTACCATTGAAATTTTTTTTTTATTTACACATATCCAAACTACAAATTAGTTTACAAAATTATAATTTAAACGGCAAATGTTTTGTATTTTAAATGAATATTTTTAAATATAATAAATTTTTTTAACTAGTTTAAAGTTACAAGAATAATAATTTTAAAAAATTAAAGGAAATTAATTTAAAATATAAGTATTTAAGATTTAAGATATATATATATATATATATATATATATATATATATGTTTCTATATTAATATTTAAATACAAAAGGCAACTATTTTCATCTAATTTTTTTTATTTTTTAAAATAAATTAATCACAAAACATTTGTTTACATGATGATTTTTTATGGATTTCGTTTAATCCTTTTATATATCAAGAAATTTTTTTTTCTATACATTACAAAATTTCATAAACTTGTGAGATTTCTAAGCATTAAAAGAGTACAAAATTATTAAAATAAAATAAGTAAAGAAACCATTTGATAACAAAAATATTTCATTGTAGAACGAAAACTTACTCCAACATAATACAAAAAAGTTAAAAGTGATTAAATTTAAAATTTAATAATTTTAAAAAAAGAATAATAATAGTAAAATCATATATTTTAAAAAAATCATAAAATGTATCCTCATATTTAAGAATAAAACACGCTAAAGTTTTTTCAATATAGAGTAAATTAAAAAATTTCTCTATAAAATTAGAAAAGTGCTTGAACTATAAATATTAAGGTATCAAGAATTTTAGCTATTTTATAAAAAAAAAATTATTTATTTCAAATATCTCATTCATTTATTTTTGTTAATCTTTTTTCATTATTCGTTATGATTGAACTTCTCTGATAAATATTTAATATAACATTAAATTTTATTGTCATAAGAATCTGAAAAATGGATTTTATGTAGATTTGTATAAAAAAAATTAAGTTTTTTTTTATTTATTTTCATGTTTATTAATTCTTATAATTATTAAAATAAATATTAAATATTTTAAAGCTAATAAATATTTACACTATTTTATTTAAATATTATTTATAAAGTTCCAAAGAATTATTAAAAATATTTGTAAGTAAATATAACAAAGTTCATTTACAATTTTTTAATTAACAGAATTTTGTAAAAGATTAATTAAATGATAAAATATATATACTATTGTAAAATATAAACTTTCATACAAATCTTAATCACTAATAAAAAAGCTTAAAGCACTTTGATAAAATTTTAATTACTAATAAAACACTAGACAAAACTTTAAGTTTATCAAATGAATTAAAATGTTATAGTAATTTAAATTTAAAAACCCCTTTGAATAACAAAAAAAAAATTCTTAAATTCTATTGATTAAGTCATTCAAATGTTGTTATTTTTAAATAAATTTTTATAAAAAAGAAAACTTTAATTATCTTTTTTATTTCACTTTAAAGTATTACAATTGTGATAGAAAAATTTAATCATTAAAGTATGTATTACAAAACACAAATTTTAAGGTTTTTTTTTTTTTTAATGTAAAGAAGGACTAAGAATAAAATCACACAAAAATAAGACATTTTATGAAAAATATAAAGATAACACAATTTAAATTTTGCACATAAATTGTACAAGAGTAATGTAATTTATGCATAAAACTAATATTTGTGGGTCACTTTAACTTTATTCATAATTCATATTATTTTTAGACAATTCATATTCTATTTTCTTAGGTGACTTATGCACAAAAATAGAGTGATATACTTTATTTTATTTTACTACATCAAGACATATCACATTTATATAAAATTACCTATAAAGTATATATATGACATCTTTAAAGTTTTCACTAAATCAACAAGTATCTCAAATTTTACATTTGTTTAGACGTTTGTGTGAGATTATTTAAAGTATTTATAGTCACTTAAGATATAAAAATATATAGTTTTAATAATTCTTGTTTATTATTAATTTAAATTTAAAAATAATTTTTTATAGAATTTTGTGGTCACTTTAAAATTAAATTTTAATTCATAACTTAATCATTGTTATAAAATTTTAACTTTAAATTTTAATAATTGCTGTAATTTTTTATAATTTACACATATAATTATATTCAATATTTTTATAAACATTTTTTTTTTGTCTTAACGATAGAGATTCTCACCTTTTCTTTTATTCTATTACTAATTTGTTGTTATCCTCATTTTACTATGGTAATTCCTTTTTTTTTCTAATTAATTTCAAAAATTGAAGTGAACTGTTATGCAAAGTTGAAGTGGTGAAGACTTCAAGTTGTTTATCAATTTCTTCAACAGATCTGAATGATTTTATTATTATTTTTAGATTGAAGATACTGAAAAGTTTTAATAATAAAATAATAATTTCTCATTAGAAGTATTAAATTATATCAAAAGATTGTTTTTTTTTTTAAATACAGTTTTTTTATAGATGATATTCACAATATTGTTATCTATTAGGGTTATTTATATTCTTTTTAAAATCATAATTATTTAAATCCTATTTAAAATTAATTAAACACTAAAATATATTGAGTAAATTAATCATTTTATCTATTGAAAAGTGTGCAAATCACTCAAATGTAAAAACAAGAAGAGTAAATAATTTTGTAATTCAATTAAAAAATAAAATAAAAATTGACAAGTTATATTAAATTTAACATCACATAAATTTAGCTTAATAACTCAAAGTTTTAAAATAAAGATTCTATTTATTGATTGTGATTATATGACTTAATCTTTAGTAATTGTTTGATTTTTCAAATTAAGTATAACTGATTTTGAGTTTTTCGATAATATTAAGATATGTACATAAATTAATTTAAATCATACCATTTTATTAAAATAAGTATTTTAAATTAGAAAGTGTAAGAATTAATTTTTGTTATTAATTTTTAAACAAACAATTAGTTCTACTAGAAAATAACTTTCATTGGATTGTTGCTCTTTTATGCTACTAAGATACTGTCAAAGTATGGTTTTTTACCATTCTCAATTTCTTCATTTCTCTGCAATCTGTCTACTTTCTGTGTTGCTACGATGAAAGATGTTTAGTTCAATAAAATTTAATCATTAAATCATCATTTTCTAGTAATATTATTTTTTGAAATAATTTCTTTCAAACACTTCCTTATTTGTGTATAGAGTTGAAGTGAATTATCTAATATTTTGCAACTTTGAATTCTTTGAATTTGTAATCTCTCAAAATATTATTTTTCTTAAAATGGCTTTGTTTTTAATAAAATCATGAATTTATGTAGTTATTTTTCTTATTTAAAAGTTTTTAAAATAGCAATAAGAACATGTTATGTATTAACTGTTGAAAAAGTAAGAGTTCAAAAAATTTGTCCCACATCTAGATCTCCACCTCTTTTTTAATTGTGATAATTAACTAATATAAATTTTTTTTAAATTAAATCAGATATCAAATTTATAGCCATTAATTTATGGCTTGTTAATCTGAACATGGTTATATTATATAACTTATTGATGATAATTATATATTTAAATATTAAGTGCGTCAATTATAAATAACAAGAAAAAATAATGGATCTATATACTTAGGACATGTTTAAGCTTAAATTTCATTATTAAATGGAAAAAAAAAACGTAACCCATTATTAAATTATAGGAGAAAAAAATCTAGCATTTTCACTTAAATTTTCTGAATGTAAAGATAAAAATGAGATGAATTGAATCAGATTGTACAAAATTAATATTTTACTAATTTCTCAACTTTAAAGGTTAAGTTAAAAAAAATTAAAACTTAACTTGATTTGAAATTATAAAAAAAAAATTATTCACAGAAATCATTTTTAAAAAAGTTCTAAACTTATTTCTAAATTTTTCAATGGACATAAATTTATATAAGTTAATGGTTTTAAGTCTCTAAATAAATTATAATTTTAAAACATTATTACAATAAACACTTCAAATAATAATAATAATAATAATAATGTTTAATTAAATTTAAATTTTCATTTAAATAGTTTAAAGATTTTTAAATAAAATAGACTTTTAAAAAAATTATTTATTTATTACATAATCCTAACTCAATTTATGTCTAATATAAATTAAGTGATAAGTCATTAATAAATTATGTTGTATAAATTATTATATAATTTTATTGTATAAGTATAATTTTCTTAAACATTAGTAACAATTAGTCAATTAATGACTCATATTTTATTCTCACATTTATAGTCTTATTGCATTATTTAGATGTCTTTTCATTCCCTTATTCCTTCTATTAGTGTGTTTTTGCATTTTCCACATTAATTAGGAACTTTTGTAAATACTCATTTTTTTTTTCATATTTTCTATTTTGAACTTTACTAATTTAGCCATAACTTTTTTTTGTAGATATCCTTTTTGGCTGATTCTTTTTGCATTGGATTCTTTACTTCTGGGGCTTCAATTTAGACATATGGATCATGCTATTTGGAGGTTAAAGCTATTTTCTACGAATTTTAGAAGTTCGGACTTTTAGCTTGACTTTTGTATTGATTTTGTATTGCTTTTGTTTTTGCAGTTTTGTTGAATTTATTTTCAGCCCAGCCCTAGCCCATTCATTTTTATTCATTTAGGACTATTATTTAAAGAGGTCAAGGGTTGATTTGGAAGCACACTTATTTTACTTTTTTTGTTTTTCAGTTTTGT